CAGGGATCATAAATTCAAAATCTCTTTTCTATATACTGGTACTGTGTACTGTACAGACCGTTTATAAATGTTATTTCTGCAGACACCTTCTTACATAAGATTGATCACACTATTTTAGAATCCTAATGCCAAGTCAGCAGATTTGCTTTTGAATTATGGGCAACTGGAAAATGGATAGCACCGTTCACTCTAGACACACTTTCTTATACTCTAATAGGAGTGACCACTTTAGATAACAGGTTGGATTCTTCTTGCAAACTTATAATCTTTGGATTTTAAATCTATGGCAAAAATAATGTGACACTGTAAATGGTCCTGCTGTGCATACCACTTAACCAATTGCTCTGACAACACACAGTTTTTGTTTTTTATCAACTTGACAGGCAATAGTTGTATAATGCATAAGCATGTGTGTGTCTGAAAGAGTGGGGAGGGTGTTTGTGTTAGTGATAAAGGAAGAGAGACAAAAAGAAAGGCTTATTAAAATTACCTGAGGATCATTCCATATCTTATCAATCTGCCATAATTATCATATGTTTATGCTTAGGTATAAGATCTTGTCAAGAAGCAGATATGGGTGGTTATTCTTTTTATAGAAGAAGCATATCATTTTCTGCTTCAGACATGATCCCAGCATCTGAATGAGGAAACTAGGATTAAATCATAATGCATCAATCTATTCAAGTATAGATTATTCTAAAATCTATGTGCTTTTATTTTTTCCTTGCTGTTTTTTTAAATCAGAAGTTCAAGATTGCAGGCAAGTAACATGGGAAACTATACGACTAACAGGTAATTGAGAAAGCATCAATCTGCTGGCTTTTATTTTATTTTATTTTATTTTATTTTTTGAGGATCCAGGAAAGTTAAAAACACAAGCAAATGTGACTGTGAGTGTTTCACTGGAAATGTAAACTTTTTGTGTTCTAGAATATTTGTTTTAGTAAGACAAGTTTACACAGCTTGTGGAGAGTTATTTTGTTGAAAAATAAATTTTATAGTTTCTCTGCTTTTTTCTATATTTGACCATATTTCTATTCTAATCAACTTGTTCATTTATTTCACTTATGGGATTTACTGCTACAAGGTTGCTGAACCATTATGATAATTTCTACATTTTTGTCAGAAACAAATAATACTACAAATTTTAAGTAATACTGTAAATAATTATAGCATTTACAGTATATATATATATTTACATTCCTCATGCATGGACAGGCTAGATTTAGTTCTGTCCAGCATCTTTGTAGTATTATAGAAAATAATAAGAATAAAGGAATAATATTAAGCATATTGACTTAACATACATAGCATAAATGAGATTTATTTATATTGGGAGGGGAAGATCATTGCAGCTAAAAACATGGACTGACACTGTATTCAACTCTCCTGAAAATTCTTCTTAACGTATACAAGTTGAAAGTCTTTCATAAATTTGCAACATAATGAAATATTGACTTTGGGAAATTGGGGGTAAACTTTAGATTGGCCCCAAATGTAGGCATAGCTTCAAAATGTATTGCAGGTAGTATTTCGGTGTTGTATTCGTAAATTAACTATGTACATAGTGTCTTAATATGTAAAATCTCTATTGCAGAAGAAATTAGAATTTGACTTCATACTTTTCATTCTAATATCCAAGCTACAAGACCAAATTTTGTATTAGAATCCTGTGGCTACAAAGAAATATATATACAAGAAAAGAAAGATAACTAAAGTAAGAAAAGAGAAACAAGTGCAATCTGGTAATTCCAAAGAATAATTATCAGGAAATATAAATATTACAGAATTAGAGGAGCATGAAAAGTAATGTCTCTTTTCAGTTGAACTCAACTCCTTGGGATTTAATGGATATACCCGTGTAGTTTTTTTGACAAAAATATAAAAGGATTTATCTATGGATGTTTTTTTTTCTAGAATCATAGAGTTGCCATAGATCTATCAAGTCCAATTCCCTGTGCATGGCAATATATACTGCAACATTTTTGATAGATTGTTTGAAAATTTGTTGTTTGAAAATTCTAGTGAAGGGGTAGAAACTACTTCATGCAGTAATCTAATTCACTGATTCATACCTAATATCTAATCTGTATCTTTGAAGTTTCATTCCATCTGTTTTAATTTTACTTTCTGGTGCAAGTAAGAGTAAGTTTTAACTCTTTACAACATAATAGCATTTAAGATATTTGAAGACCATTATCATATACCTTGTCAACTTTCTCTTCTTCAAATTAAACCTACTTAGGTCTTTAATTGTTCCTCATAGAACTTAGTTTTCCATAAGTTCACCATCTTGGTGGTCCTTCTCTGGACTTGCTTCAGTTTATTTATTTCTTTGTAAAATTTATATGGCCGCCTACTTCATCAAGAAGTGACTCTGAGTGATGAACAACAGAAAATAATAGGCATTTTTTTAAAGTTGGGATGTGCAGACCTAACCAAGGCAGAATAGATCAAAATAATTACTTCCCGTAGTCTGGACTGCTAGTGCTTCTATAATTTGGACTTTTACTGCTACTTCAGTTTGTTCTCAGGAGGTGGGGGAAGGCGTCATTTCCCAACTAAGTTTCCAAAGCCCCCAAATATCCAGATGCTTATTCTTCAAGACAGAAATGTGTATTGATAGCAAAAATAAAATGCATATCTTCCCTTATGTATATTCTGGGATGTTTCAGAATGAATGAAAACAACAGTTTTATAAGATTATGAATAATTTCCCCATCAACTATATAGCTATGAGAGATCATATTGATAGCAACTTCTTTGCCTCTCTCAGCAAGTTAAAATATAAAAGATACATAGAATCTTAGGTTAAAATGAATTATTTTGATAGAAGTAAAACAAAATAAACAATTGTGCACTGTAGGACAGTAGATAGAGATACTGTAAGCCCTCCACAGACAAAGATGGGGCAAAATGAAGAAAAGATTCATTCCGAGCCAGGCAAGAGCTAGATGCTACTGGAGGTGGGTCTCTGAAGATTGAATGATAGGAGTCTTGCCTTCCCTCAAGCAAAAAAACAGGATTTTCAAAATAAGGAGTATCAGGTGTACAGAAACAAACTGGCAGCCAGTGTGAAAATTTCAAAATGGGTATTAGGGAAACCTCCAAAGATTAACCTGGCTGTGACATTTTATATTCGTTGAGTTTCTGAGAATTAACTACAATTAATGATCATATTTTTCTCAACTACTCTTCAAAAAAGTGGAAGGAATTGTGTAGCCATCCCCTTTTGTGAGATAAAGATAGTTTTCCATTAGGAAGCTATTTGCTCAAAACTTTGACATACAGAAATTACTAAATTTCCATAAGTAAGACCTTGAGTTTATAATTTAACTTTTTAGTATGAAGTGCTTCAGATCTCCTTTCAGTGCAGCTTCTTTGTTATGATGACCTTTTCTTTAGGTTTCTGCCCATGACTGAAAACAAGAGGTATTATAAGAAATATACTAAAGTTAATGGAACTCTGTAAAAATATTTGAGTTGTACAACACTCTTCTCTCTCCAAATATTCCTATATGTGTTACTTATTATTGTGATATTTTTTTTGCAAATCATAAATGTAGTTCCAAAGACAACAAAAATACTTTATATAAGTATTAATTTGTATAACATATCCACATACCTCTTGTCAAAAGATTGTCAAGTTGAGCTTTGCTAGATGCTCACTTTTTAAGTTAATCTTACTTTAGATGCTTAAAGGCTATGGCTCATAGTTCATTTTTCCTCAGCAGCATTAAAAGATGTTCTGTATCTTCAGCAAGCAATTACCTTTGTTAATCTTTAATTTTACTTTCCTGATCAGGACTTTTATTTATCAAATCACATTGGAGTGGTCTTCTTGCTTGAAGGCCTGTGACCCCTAAGACAATTTTTTTTTTCAGAACTGGAATCATTCATTTGAATTCCATTGTATACAGACAGGATATGTCAGATATATTATATAACATAAATCAGATTATCCTTTAGTTTTTTTATATATTGCTCTACTCACTATTTATAGGTAGCAGATTACACTACTACTGGTTTTGGAGAAAATACAGCAAACATTATGAATTGAACATCTGTAAGTCCACATTATTCCTGAAAAATGATTCCAAGCATTCTGTCCCATTATTTCCATTTTACTTCTATACGGAAACATATTAATATTTCTAAATGTTCTATTTTTCTCTCTCTTTTCAACATAATATCCAACACTTATTTTTGTTGCAGATCTGAGATATTTTTTGTAATTTTACTCCAAATTTTGCAATTAATCAATTGCATATATTACAAAATTATTCTGTATTCCCTTGCCCACATTAGATAGTAAGATTTCAATAGGACATTATAGTTAAATCCTTTTATAAATATATAATGCAAGTGTGCTATTCTTATTCATATGTGTCAAAAAAGTACCATAGAGCTTAAAAAAGTATAATCAAAATGATACACTATGAAACTAATGGACCTTCCTTATATTGGAGGAGGGCTGCTAAAAATAGGTAAGGAGGTCATAATAAGAAAAATATAATCAAATATGATGTGGGTAATGTTGACACATATACATATTAAAATCCAAGATAAAAACACTGGGTCTTAGTAGAGAGTGTTTCATACAATGCATACACAATTGTACAGTTGCTGTTTCTCCAACATGGCAAAAGTTACCAATAGGTGGTTTTAAAGGGAAAATAAAATTTAAGAAGAACATGAGTATTCAGAAGACAGGTAGAATAGAGCGGGAAGGAACTTTGGAAGTCTTCTAGTCCAGCCCCCTGTTTAAGCAGGAGGACCTATACCATCTTATCTATAGGTCAGGGGATTTCCCTTGCTTCTTCAGCTGAGTATTTCTTCTTTGGTTCTGCTCTAGAATCAAACACAACACATCTAGTCAGCATTCCTGAGGGCATAAGTGAACATGTCCTGTTGTGCTGATAGGCAAAAGCAAAACAGTTACTTTTGTAGAGAACAGTTAGAAAGCTCTCAAATGAATTATAATAAAAAGCAGTCAGATGCTCATTTAATACCAATTCTGATTAAATAAAGCTTTTAATGCCATAAAATATTTTTTCAAAAGCAATCTGTAAGATGTTATGAAGTGTATTAAAATCCATTCAAATTTTATTTTGAACTCAGTATATAGTATAGTTCGAAAGTAGGATTCCTACTGTGTGAGATTGTAAACAAAACCATATGGGCAAACTGAGCAAACAAGTTTCCATAATTAGTGACCTGTTGTTAATGTAAAACCAAATGAAACTTGAAAGTTTCCAAATTGCAATGGTCCATTTTCTTAGACTTGTTTCTCCAACCTGAGGATTTCCTCCCAGGAGAAACAGCTGGCAAATTTTACTGCTGCTATAGCAACTATGTCGTCAGTCTGTTGGCTTGGCAACATAGCTGCAGAACGAAACACAGTTTGGAACACTAAAAGGAAAGCATAAATTTATTTACATTGGTGTCTAAAGCAATTTTCACCACACTTTTATAAATTTTGCAATAAAAAACCCTATACAGTCTTTGTTTGCTAGATGTATCAAATCTTCATAGTTGACATTTTGCAAAGAATTATAGTCCATTCCCTGCAAAATAATTTCAGATGGATCAAATCTCTGTAGCAATTTCAGCTGCTCAGGTGACAGTCCAGCTCCCATCATGCCTTCTCCTCCAACATGGGGCTCCTTTTAGGGAGGAAAATAAAAGAAATGGTTGGTTCTTTGGCTGGTCATTATTTAACTTAAAATAGAAACTGATATTTATAAAGATCAGCACTCCAGCTCTACCTTTGCAAGAACATTATTGGAATATTTTTATAAAAAAAACTGTCTTTGTATAAATCCTCAGTAAAGAATAATTATTCAAAATGAAGGTGGAAAACCAATGATATAAAAAGGATGAAAACCACTCTTCGGCCATCAATAACATAAAAAAAACCTAATTTAATGCCAATCAAAGTTTCCTCAGTATGTACAGTTTATTTCTATGCAGATTATTTTATTACTATAGTAATAATATAGCATAGTAATAAAATAATAAAAGCATAAATTGCTATATTTATTAGCAAAAACTAAACATAGATGAAAGGAGACATAATTATATTAAGTTGCCATCTAAAATAGAGTTCTTTTGTTGTAGGTGGGAGCCATTTCCTGTGTTAAATATCAAAAGTGTATTTAAATTTAGCCCTCAATCTCACAATCATTCATATGGGAATATATCATAGAATTCAGTTGCCCTTCTGCTATTCTCAGTTCCTCTGCAGGAGGCAAATTGGTAGGCAACTTAAGAGATGTCAGATCTATTCTGATGAATATTACAGCATCTAGCCCAGTGGTTCTCAACCTGTGGGTTGGGACCCCATTTGGAGTCAAACGACCATTTCACGGGGGTCGCCAAACAACGCAGTCCGCCATTTTTTCCCCCTTTTCCTTAGCTGTGCTACTCCCTTTTATTCTATTGGCTTTTGAAAGCCAATAGAATAGACTCTCTTGAATAGGGTCTAATTCTATTGGCTTTCAAAAGCCAATAGGAATTGTCCAGGCTGACTCTGCCCTGCTGAGCCTGCCAAAAGTCCCATTCTGCAAACGGTGCTGCACCAGTTGAGTAGTCCTCGACTTACGACCGGTTGAGTAGTCCTCGACTTACGACCGGTTGGGGGTCGCAGCATTAAAAAGGTTGAGAACCACTGATCTAGCCAGTTTGCAGGTTCTGGATCCACGCCCCACTAAACAGGGTAGAAGATGCAGGATTTAGACTTTTTTCTAACATGCATTTATTGTTTTATGAATAATTCAAGGTCACCAATGAACCTAATATGCCTACTTCCTATTTTTCCCACAATTACCCTGAGGCATGTGTTGGGCTGACAGAGAGGGGTTCCCCAAAGTCACAGTCAATTTTCATGTCTAAGGGGGAATAAAATTAATCTCATTTAACCTAGCAAATCAATCTTAATACTTTAAATATATATGCTTAATAGAAGTGAATAGATTTTAATTTGGATACTAAAAATGCAAAGGTTTCAAGGCTGAGCAAATTAAGGATAAAATCCACTTCCTTGCCTTACTGGATTCAATTCCTCAAACAACAGTAGTTAGTAGCAAGAATATGTAATGTTTATTGGGCATGCTTTGCACAAAACTCTTCCTGGCACTAAAACCCTATTACAATATTGTGGGGTTTTTTCCTGGTATATAGCCAGCCCCAGCAAATATCAGATCTTCTGCTTTCCATTTCTAAAGTAGATTGAACTGTTTACTTTCCCTCCCAAAGTATTTCATTTTAGTATTTGTACGATTTACAGAATGTGAATTCTGTAAATCATTCAGTCAAACCTATCCAACTTCTGTCCAAGTTGGCTTCATAACCATCCAGAGTTTGTTTTAAAACCCTATCTCTATTTTTCACAAAATGCTACACCAGTTTTTTTTTTTAAATGAAATCAGATAATAACTGAGGAACCTTTCTTATCTGTTCAGGACAGGAAGTTAGCTGAAAAGGTCATTCTAGTTGTGTACAGTGATAAACCATGGTTTAACAAGATATACAAGTTAATTAATGCCTTCTCAAAAGCTATTTTCTTTTCTTTTTTTCTTAAACTCCGATTTCTTGGAGATTGCCTGGACATGTCCTTTCAGATTTTTTCTGGCAAGGTTTTTCGGAAGTGATTTGCCATTGCCTCCTTTATAGGACTGAGATAGACTAACTAGCCTAAGGTCATCCAGCTGGCTTTGTGTCCAAGGTGGGGGTAGAAATCCTGGTTTCTAGCCTGAAGTTTTAACCACTACAACAAACTGGGTCTCTATAAATGTAAGCAAAATATGGAAAAGAGTTTAAAAATTACAAAATATATATTTTCCTAGGCAGATGGATAAAACTGTTAACTACAACAAACATCAAATAAATGATATGTTCTTGATAACATGATAGATATTTCTTGATCTAGGGCTCAATCTTTATAGCTATTAAAATGGTTGTAATTGGGTGAATTCTTCCACAAGATGTTTTCAACTGACAATGTAATATAAAAGTGGGAAACAAAGTTACATAGATGAAATTTTACAAGGAAATTTCTTCTTACCTGTGACTCCAGCTGGAGGCAGGGAAAAGTTTCTAGTGCCCAGGCCACTTGCTCCTCGTTCTCAGAAAGGGTAATTGTGCAAGTACTATATACAAGGATGCCCCCTGGCTTTAGCAGTTGCACTGCCTAGAATGATAATCAGATTTTCACTTTGTAGATTTTTTTCTAGTATTTCACAAATAACGCTGTTTTTTAAACACACAGACTACAGGTAGTCCTCAACTTGCAACCATTCACTTAGTAACTGAAGTTACAATGCTTCTGAAAAAAGTGATTTATGAACGATTCTCACACAATCTTTGCAGCATCCACATAATCATGTGATCAAAACTGGGGCACTTGGGAACTATAACAGTTGTACTATTCCGGGATCATGTGATCACTATTTGCATCCTTCCCAGCTGGCTTCTGACAAGCAAAGTCAATGGGGAGGCTTAACTGCATGATTCACTTAACAACTGCAGTGAGTCGCTTAACAAGAATGGCAGAAAAAAATCACAAAATGGGATGGAACTCATTTGACTGTCTTACTTAGCAATAGAAATTTTGAACTCAATTGTGGTTGCAACTAAAGGACTACATGTAGTTTAAAAGCTTCTCTACAGATCAGTGGCACAGTGCACATTAATTCTAACAAAGTGTTCGAAGATTCATGGCTACTAATCATAATGGAACCACCATAGAAATGTTGCTGAAAGTGAAGAACGTTTATTCTTTGGCGTATATCTCCACAGTCCTGCCTATTTCTATCCAACCTTTTCTAGCTATACCGTGTGATGGAATGGTAAATATTATTTACCAGGAGATATTCTCAGAGGATGATCCAATAATTCCCAAATTCTTTCTCCTTTAGGAGAAAAGGAAGAAGAATCTGAAGATAACTTCTTTAAAGAATTGTACAAAAGGCTTTACTTTCATTTTGGCTCAATGTCTTCCAATAGACAGCAGAAGCAACTGAACAAATAAACAGTTGAAATTGCAATTGCACCATTACAGCAAATATCTTAATTTTTTCCCCATACCATTTTTCAGGAATTGTTATATAACCAAGGTACAGAAAAGTAAAATTCTTTAATAAAATTATTTCCTGAAATGAAACTATTTCTGCTGTAAGGATATGAGAAAAAGTTTATCAAACATAATCTTATATCAATACTGTTTCAATTTTAATAAAATGTATTTCTTTTAAAACAATCCAGCAAACAACATACAACTCCCAAGCCTCTCCTTCATATTTTATTTAATAGTTTGCACTGTTAATCATACCACTCTAAAAAGCTTGCGCTGCAAAGGTTGGTAAGAAGTTATTTCTTTTAAAGACCACGAATAAGCCAAATTTGGCCTCTGTCCCATTCCACTGCATGGAGCATCAAGAAGTATCCTGTCAAATGACTCGGGTAAGAATGGAGGTCCTTCTGCAAAATATATATACATATATATATATATATATTTCAAAGACAATAGTTCGCATGTTTTGCATAACTAATTCTGCTATTATTATTATTAATTTTAGAGAACTGTTAATTAAAATTCCATGAGTCATATCAATTTAATGTAGTGAATCTAGTTGAACCCTACTGGCTTTGGTTCAAAGTCTTTTTAATTAACTGTTATAAATAGCCATTGTATTTGGATGGAATTTTTATTTATTACTATTATTTATTAAACAAATTAATATACTGTAGCTGCATAGATGACTCCAGGTGGCTTACAAAATTTAAATTATGATTGCTTTTGCCTTCCACTCTATTTCTATGTAACAAAAAATGTGTCCTGTTTAATTGGTATACAAATTGATTCCAGTCTCCTTAAATCTGTATCATGTCAAGTCAAGATTTAATATGTGTATTGAAATCCTCTGTGTAATAGACCAACATTTCACTTGTATTGATGAAAAATGAATCTAAGTACTAACATTTTTGAAGTTACATCTTTGTAGAAAGGCAAAATATGTTTATGAAGCAACTGATGTGGAAAGATTAAGTTCATTAAAAAGACATTATAAGGATTTGTTGGACAAGTATTTTCATACTTTAGCCACCAAAATGCACTAAACAATGATTAAAAATATAATAGATCTTTAATAAAAATAGATCCCTCTTCCTCACTTTTTCCCCATTATATGTGCTCCGAGTTGTTCTTATGAAACTAGTAAGCTTCAGAAATTTTGATACAGATAGTCCTCAATGATCATTTGGTAAGTTATAATGTTGTTAAGTAAACAGTAGATAGGATCAGTCCTCCAAGTTAGCTTGCAGCACTCCTGCAATCATGTGATCAAAATTTGATTGCTTGGCAGCCCATTAGCATTGATTACTGCAGGATGCATTTCAATTCCCCCACCTACCTATACCCATTTTCCCATCTCTGCCTTTTTGACTACCCTGCACTCCACCTCTGCTGCCCTCTGTCCCACTCCAGCTACCCTTTGTCTCCCTCCTCTTGCTGAGCTGTGCCCATCCAAGGTCTCATAAGTCAGCATGAAGCCATCAGCAGAGAATTGTGATGCCCTTGCCTAATGGCACACAGTCCTCAGTCTGATAACCTGAAACTACAGGAGACCTAGTAGTGGTTAAAATGCAATATTGCGGCTATCTCTGTCCACAGTCTGATGGGGCTCAGAGTTTATTCAACCTTCCATTCTTCCGAGGTCAGTAAAATGAGGACCCAGATTGTTGGGGGGAATATGCAAATAATGCTTTATATTATAAACTGCCCAGAGAGTGCTGTAAGACACAATAGGATGGTACATAACTCTAAATTCTATTGCTACCAGAACTAGTGTTGCAGTGAAGTCATGTGATGCTTTGCTTACTGTCCTTATCAGTAGTGTAAGATATGGCAACAGAAATTCCAGTCCCACTTAGGTTTGTTAAGCAAGGACTACATGTACAATTTTACTTAGTGTACCTTATTGTGCCATCCAAATCAAATTCAAATTAGTCTTTATATCATAACCTCTATTATTCATGAACAATAGTTAAAAAGTAACAGTACCTTGTCCATCCTCTAATTTGCTATCAGTAAGCGCTTTAGTACCATCATAACAAAAAGCTTTAATACAATTCAAATTTAACAATGCAGCATTTTGTTCAATCTTTTTTACTCTGTCTGCTATCTTGTCCAGCGCTATTACTTCCCCCTAAAAATTAAAAATTAAAAGTTTTTAATGACATAAACAGCTGTTAAAATGGCTGAAGTATAGAGGTTGATACACATAATTTCAAATAACTAAAGTGCAATACATAAAGCACCAGATTTATACAATATAATCTGTTTTAGCCCTGATTCAGTACACATCTGTGAAAAAATTGCCTCAAAAAACCACAAATCAGCTATGATGCCTGCATCTGAAAAACGTGGTGACTTTCTCCATTTCAGAGTCATCACACTATTCTTCATTTCTTAAGCAACAACGTTTTACTTAATAGTATGTTACAGTTTATTCATGGCTAACTTCACCAAAACAAAGTACTATATTTCATTCAAATACTGTAACGTGTCAAGCTGTAATTTTTTCCATGTTAATAGTCTCTCTGCAGAGGCTCATTGAATAGTGTAAGTCTTTAAATTAACTGTTTCAGATTATTATTTTTCCAATTCAATCTGCACCATCAAGTGTAGGACATACTAAATGTGCAGTTTTTGAAAAAAAACTGCACATTTAGGAATGCAAATGTATAAAAACAGCAATACCATATAAAAATATTTTAGTTACGTAGAACATTATTTCAGTGTTTCATTATTGTGTTCTGCATGCTGGCAATTTCTCCATGCCGGAAAGCTAAATAATTCAGTAAGCATAACAGCATTACATCCGGGTTATAATTAAAAATATGACAAACAGCACAGCTTATATAAGTAGAGTTATCACATGGGAATATCAATGTTCCTCACTGCAAACTCTGATGCTGCATTCTGAAACTTCCAAGTGATCTTCAAGGACAGCCCCATGTAAAATGCATTGCAATAATCAAGCTGTGAAGTGATTAGGGCTTGAATGACCATCTGAAGACCCATGTGATCCAATAAAGGACGCAACTGATTACTAGATGATGTTCAAAGGCCGTCTTAGCCAAAGCTGCCATCAGGTAGAAGCTGTGAATCCAAGAGGACCCCTAGATTGCACATCACCCTTGAATAAGAAAGTGTAATCCCATCCAAGGGTAAAGATGGAAAATTCAGATTTAGTTGACCTAATATTCACAAACATTCAGTCCTGATAGTTTTGAATCAAGTTTATTGATATTCCTCTCTATCCAGGCCCAACAGCATCCAAGCATTGAGACACAGTGTTGGCAAGCTTAATTGCCCAGGGATCAATTGGTATCATTAGCATATTGATGAGACTAGACCCCGAACTGGCCAGTAAACTCACGTAATGGTTTCTTATAGATCTTGAGCAGGAGGAGAGAAAGTGTCCTGTGTTATCCCACAAAAGAGTGCTTGGGGGACAATACCAACCAGACTGGCTCTGGAGGTAGAAAGAGAACCATATAAAACAATGCTCCAAACTGCTAATCTTTGAATCCAGTCCAGAAGGATACCAAGATTGAATGTATAAAGAGATGCCATGAAATCAAGGAGCCCAAGAAAGAATGCACCATCTCTATCCAGGTCTGCCACAAATTACATACAAATCCAACTAAGGATGATTCCATACTAAATACTGAAACCTGACTGATATAGGACTAGATAACCTAGTTTTTTCTAGGAGCATCTGCAACTAAAATGGGAAGATTTGGAGACAAGTCAATAGTTAACCAAATGGCAGGGTCCAGGGATGGTCTCAAGGAGGAGGTGCTCTACTATTTCATTCAAGGCAATAGCACCACCCCCTTCCTCTATCATCACAGTACAAATAGTTTTCCTGCTAACAACCTAGGAAGGACCTCAGCGCAATAAACAGAGGCTAAACTAGGTAGCCTTCTTCAAGAGTCACCAATTCAACCCAAGTCTCATATATCAGTGTATAAACTAATAATTAATTGGACTGTCCACTTGAAAGTTCTTAGTTTCCTGATACTTTTAATTGCAACTAATTTTTGCTAAATTTGTATTATGTCAAAATCTGCCTACTCTTTCTCAAAGGTAAGAGTCCAGAAACATTTTAGAACTGATGGCTATTTATGGCTTTTAGGTAGCATGTGGTTAAGAAGCATGCGGCTGCATTCCAACAATGAAGAAAAAGACTGATTAGGACAGAAACTGAATTTAAACCCATTTAATTTTAATTAAATGTATACCCCTCACATATTTCTGAGCATAACTTAGAAAAGCACCTATTTTCACTTAGCAATTTATTGCTTGGATTAGTAGATTTGTGGTAACTCAGCAAGATCAATGTCCCTTTAGTGAGTCTGTACAGCTTATTTCATTAGAAAACATACATAAAATTCAAGTATGAATGCTATGCAATTTTGAATTATCCGTGAATTTCAGTCAATGTGTGAAATAAGCTATGTTAGTAAAATACAAGCAAGCTTCTTTGAAGAAAGAAGGAAGGAAGGAAGGAAGGAAGGAAGGAAGGAAGGAAGGAAGGAAGGAAGGAAGGAAGGAAGGAAGGAAGGAAGGGAAAGAGAGGGAGGGAGGGAGGGACACTCACCTCATCATGCATTAATGTTGCAAGGTGGGTAGTTTTGCCCCCAGGAGCAGCACATATGTCCAAGACTCTCTGTCCAGATTGAGGATTTAAAACATAACTCACAATTGATGAAGGCAAATTCTAGCAAAGGAAGTAGTAAAAAATATTTTAATAACCCAGAGATCACAAAAATACTGAAATAGTTTTCTGAATCTATGCCTGACCTTTCTTCTCCTAAGAATCTAAACTGTGCATGAATACTTATTCTAATTCTCTAAATAATCATCCCAAATTAAAGTTACTTGGTTGTCTGAAAAAATTGTAAATATTAAAAACCAAGCATCTTTTGACCAGGAAAAGCTATTCCTCAGAGCTTGTGATGGGTAGACAACCATTTGACTCCTATGGTTAGCTCCTATCCTTATTTTATTGCTTTTAATGTATAATGCTGTTCTTTGTTGGGCAGCTGTAACTGTGTTTCTCTGTCACATTATACCTTGTAAACCTCTGAGTTTCTCAAGATGCAGTGATATAAATGTTTAATAAACAAATATATTGTTCCAAATCCAAGCACTTATGGCAGGTAGATATTCTTGCTCTTAATTGGTAGATAAAATATGAATAGGCATAACTGAGAATTTAAGCATATAAGAGAGGCACCTAAACAAAATCATTGATGTGGGGAATATGGAATACTTCAGTCTGGTAAGGCTGTTCCTCATATTCTCTAGCCCAGTGGTGGTGAACTTATGGCACGAGTGCCAGAAGCGGCACTCGGAGCCCTCTCTAGGCACACATGCTGTCGCCCACGCAACGCCCTGCAGCCCCCTCCACACCAGCCCCCTGAAGGAGACTCCGGAGGTAGGGTGAGGTGGGCGGGGGTGGGGCAGTTTTGGGGCACTCGGTCTCTAAAAGGCTTGCCATCACTGCTCTAGCCTCTCTCATTCTCTACCCTCTTTTCCTCCCTCCCTCACCATACTTCCATCCCTAGTCTTGGGATGCGCCCATTCCCTTTTTCATTTTCTAAGTCTGCCTATAGAGGCTAGATGAGACTCAAAGGAATTGTTAGAAATAATAAAAGAGTGATGCTTGATTTTTGCAGGATGAGTGCTTCCTATTCATTTTGAATTAAAAGCATTTAAAACAAGTAACATGTGAAACAAAATCCTGTTGGATGCCAGGCATTGAGAGAATCAAACATTACACCAACAATATTTTAGTAGGGTTTACTGATACTGAAAATGAACTTCTTAGTAAACTTGGTTGGATTATGTTGTGAGGTTAATATTTTTTAAAAATTAACACCTGGCTTTTACTTGTGAAATATAGTACTTTAGATGGGAACACAATAAATTGGGAAATGTCTTGTTGTTATTTTAAATGTACAAATGACACAACAACAGTAACAATGTATTAAATACTTTATTCTACTTTTCTCCAGAAAGTGATTTTTACAACAAGGATTGGAGAAGTAGACTTCCCAACCCTGATGTTTTCTGCAAGTAAACCTTGGAAAAAAACATCATAATGAACTGGATATACTTTCCTGAATTCTTGAACTGGAATGAAAAAAGAAATCCTAAACACTACAGCACTTCAAGAAGCACTATAGAAAATGGAAATCCAGCTTGCTCCCAATAAAATATATCAAATATAAAAATGCAACAACCTGATCATAAATGCATTTGGATTTCAAATTAAGGTTTTTATTCAAAACTCAATTCTATTAATTTACATGACATGTGTATTTCTGGCTCACATGAGGTAGGAATTCAGCCATACCACTATAATATCTAAGCCAGGGGTAGGCAACCTTGACTCATGGACTTCAACTACCAGAATTCCTGAGCCAGCCATGCTGAGGAGAAATGGAGAGGTTTCCATGCTGAGCCATGCTGGCTCAGGAATTCTGGGAGTTGAAGTCCATGAGTTATAAAAAAGCCAAGGTTGTCTACCCCTGATCTAAGCAATGGCTATGGTTTAGTAGTGTATGCGAATCCAGCTACTATACTTGATCCCATGAATGTATTAAAACCCTAATGTTCAGAAAATAGCATTTATTTGGAATATAACATACCTGTAAAAATATGTAACTGGATAACATATTGTCAAATGAGGGACTATGGTAAATTGGTTCAGTCATTTTTATTCCCAGCCCTCTGAAAGGCATAACACAGGAATATGAATAAATTGTCTGTTCCTCATTTCTAGTTTGACATTATTTAATTGTACAATACTTATTAGGGGCTATCAGATAATATATGCTATTAATTTAACACATTCTGTTTTTACTTTCAGGAAAATTAATTAGAGGATAAGCCTTTTGAATCCATATATTTTCAACAGTATATTTTTTTTTCTCAGATGGGTTTGTTATGTGTGACTTAATTCAAAACAGACTGCTGTCACTGTTAATAATATCAAAATAATTTTCTTCCATAGGAATGTGGCTTGCAGTTTAGTTGGTTGATTTGTATAATTGTACTGAATGCTCTCACCAACATATTATTCAAGATCTTTAGGGAAATTCTTGTGAGATTTCTAAAAATGTTGTTTCTGTATCATTAAAGCATTAAAATTATTTCCTATATATTAAATAATCCAATGCATAAAACGTAGTCAGTCACTGAGCCTAATAAAACCTACAGAATCCATATAGCATTAAGAATCAGAAAAAATATTGGAAAAGTTACTTTGAGCTCTAAGAGAAAAGTGGGGTGCAAATGATGATGATTAAAACTATTGTTACTTAGAGTCCATATCAATTCCAGATCAATATCTATTTGTAGCCCTCTAAGGAAATTCCTAATTCTTATTTTTTGTAGACTGTTTTACCTCTTCTTACATTTCTGTGGAAGTCCTTTTCAAGTCAACAATATAACATGAAAATAATTGTGTTAGATAGGATAAATCAATACTATAATTTCTAATCACTCAGAGTGGTTCCACTTTCCAAGACTAAAGATATCAACATAGCTGAGAGAAAATAAAAGAAAATATTTGTAGCTCAGGGTTGACGTGAGGGGGGGGGTCTTTGGTGCTCTCTGAGCTTGCTTGTTTTCTTGCAGATGCTTCCTTGCAGACTAGCATTGTTGCTATTACCTAGTATGGGTAATGAAACATCTGCAAGAAAATAAGTCGGAAGAAAATAACCACTTATTGCAAAGAAAGTTTTTTAAAGACTTGTTTGACTGAATAGTTCAATAATCTAAGATTAAAAAAAAGAAAGCAAAAAAGGGGGGAGTACAAATTAATTGTTGCTAATTGATGTTAATTGATAAATAACTGCAATGAACATGAGTAAATGCTTCATACTGGGCAGAATAGTCATAACACCATAAATAGGGACAGACTGAACTGTTGCAATCTGACTAGTCATCAGTGAGGCATAGATTATTCCTGATACATTTATTAATTTAGCTGAAAAATATAGAATGACTCAAGTAATGTCCCAAACCTTTTTAAATAATACAATTGCTCCAGAGCTACATCTTGAATAAAAAAATTCTGAATAAATTCAATACATATAATTTGTGAATAACTACAGTATATTTAACTTTTGATAATCTTTACAAATGTTTATTAATGTGTAACCATTTAACCGGTCATGTAATAGTAATCGGGTACCCCTGGAAAGAGTTTAATACCACTTTTTCCAACTCATTTTATTAAAAAGCACAAGCTTTTATGAACTGCCTTCCAATTTTTTGCTACCATAAACTTATTTGACTGCCCTACTACATGGCTATCATCTGGCTCTTTTTTTATTCAGGCCTTACCATACTCAAATGTTATTGTTTGCTAGTAAAGAAAATCTTCCATTTGTACTCTACCATCATTTTTAATTATTAATTTTAATAATATAAAAAGTAAAACAATTTTAATAATTGTTTAATCTAGCCATGTCCTTAATGAACCTATAGAACTATCAAAGACTAGTTCCTATGAGATTTCTTGGTTTCTGATGGTACCCGAGAATAATTTATTTGACTAAGCAAGGAACTTTTCAACTGAAATCCAAATCCATACTTTCGCACTGATGTTTAAACCAAAAGGCTGTTTAATTCAGCATCCTGATCCTCTATTTCCAATCCAAACATTTTGGAAAGCTCATCAAAAAGAAGATAAACCCAACCATATCCTCTTGCAATGGTATGTTTCATATTTGAACACCAAAACTGGAAACCAAGAAGACCGAGGACAACTCCATAAAGCATAAAAAGCTACAAAGGTGTTTATCAAAGGATAAATATGTATTACTGAAACTGTCATCTTGGATTTTAACATCAGTACCACATTTTTTCAGAATTTCAGAACAGGCAGATTCAGATTCAAAAGTGTTGTTGAAAACCCTCAACATTGGAGAAATAAACCCAACAGGAATTTGGACTAAAGTATACATACTTTCAATGTGTTCAAAAATAAAATTAGTTGGACAGTGAGATGATTTACAAATAGCTGTAGCTTTCTACTAAAATAAGCAATTTGGGACAGATTTTCAACCATGATTATACACTTCTGACTTACTTCAATGGGCTATTAGAAGTAAATATTTCATTGCGGCTCAGTTCTGAAATCCCATTTCCAATGAAAACTTTATTCCCGGAAAACTCTTTGGCTCCTCTTTTGCATTTCCCTTCAATATCAGAGTACACAGAAACCACACTGCCAGGTTTCATGGCTGGGGAAAAAAGAGGGAGAGACATCTTTGGATTTTGTTTTCCTTGGCTTAAGAACACAGATCCAGACATTCACTGGGGATTTTGTGAGTCCACATACTTGAACCCCCTGTGTCTAAAAGAATGTGCTTGAGTCAAGATAAGCTCTGGAAAAACATCACTGATGGCTATTCCAGATGTAAACTTGGCAATGTTTTGCATAATTTTTAAAGAAATACGTCCTAATGTTTAATCCTCAAGAAATATGAATGTTCTAACATTATAGGCTAGCAGATTATGGAAGGAGAAGGGAGGGACAGTAGAACATTTTGACTGAACCAGTCATCTAAATCAGGATATGAAAATGGGATCATGATAAAGCTCTGATAAAGAACTTGGAGCCTAGCTGCCCAGGATGCATCACAGTAGGATACAAATATAAAAATACATAACAAGATGAAAGGTATATTAACAAAGGAAAAGCATATGTTAACAGTTTTCTAATTTCTATATGTATATATATGTACTATAAACACACACAAAATCTTCTATAATTTGAGACTGTGCTCCTGTGGGCTAGAGATGTTGAAACTACAGCTCATTCCTGCTACTTGTACCCTCTATAAAGACTAAAGGACCCATCTTATAACTTCTTTCCCACTTAAAACAGCTGGGAAAACAGCAGTATGAGTCAGTCTCCTTGAATGTAGCTAAATTTTGTTATGCTGCCTGTAAAATTAAGCAGACTTTGATGAACCCACCCACTATTGTAATATTTTATCTTATTTTGTTTTTACTTTATTTTTAACTTATTTTTGTCTGCAATTCTAGACAATGGCCATAATAAAAAGTATTTATTAAACACACACAATCACTCTTACATTTTGAAGCAGATATAATCCCAGGAGCATAAACATGTGCTCCACGAAGCACCGCACTTCCACACTGTGCATCAACAATAACTTCATTTGACAATCTTTGCATATCCTTTCTGCAAGAGAACAATGATACTTAAATAAAGTTAGCTTATTAATATTATTCAAAAGAAAAGCTAACTTGACCACATTCCACTCCCACCCACAGCTAAGTTTTTTTTTTTCCTATTTACTGGTAGTGCATTTGCTTTCTAGCTTTTTAATTTCGTTTACAGCCTTTCAATTTCAAAGTTGCAGCTTATAATAATTGTATGTAAAAGCCACATTAAAGAATGTAAATACATGTTTCATAAAACTAAGGAGTTCTTTAAAAAGTAGAACATTTAGATAGGACACATTATTGATAATTAATCAAATATAATCTGTTTCTAGATTTCTGAAATATAATCATTAGGCCTACATAGAGCTCCTGTTTTGATTGAGTGAAGATGCTTCAGAACAGGGGCCCCCAATTTCTGGGCTGTGGACCTGTACATGTCTGCAGCCTGTGGGGAACCGGGCTGCAGAAGCAACAGGCGAGCACATGAAGCTTCATTTGTGCATGTGTGGGATTTAGATTGAGCATGCAAAACCATGCCCTCCTCCCCCCAATGGTCTGTGGAACCAGGAAGGTTGGGGACTGCTGCTTCAAAACACATAGTAAACCAAACACAGGACCTGAGACTTATTACAGCAGCTATATCTGTTTGCAGAATCTCTATATGACAGTCAAGTAATCATATAAAAAGATTGAGGTGCTTTAATGACTGGATGGTCCTTTGTGTTCTGAAGTGCTTCTTCACAGTCCAATCCAAAGTTCTGCAAATCACTAGTAATTGCCATTTTTCCCTATTATGCACCACAGCAGGCAGGCATAATAAATATTAAATATTAAAACTGACATTCTAGGGAAAGAAATTTCCACTATGCTTTCTTTCATTTTCCAGTAGAGAGATAATTATTAAAGAAACCCAAGTTATTGATAAATAAATAGCTGTTTTAAATAGGATAAAAATTTTCCAATACTGTGAGTTTATCTTTGGTTTATCTTTTGTCTGAGCATGCAAAAGATATGTAAATCACGGTGTGAATCTGGCCTGCTTGAAACTGCTTATCAGATTTTATCAAAGAAATGTGAGGGATCATCCATGGAGGACAAACACATAAGCTCAGATGTGCTGCAATTCATCTCCTTCATATCAAATTATGATTTAAATGAATATGTTAATATTCATTCATAATGAATATTATTAATTCCATATTGATAAGCAGTGATAATGGACATATCTTTTTAAAGTATCATCTGTATATTCAAATTTAGGATTGGTCTATCAATGCTTGACCAACCAACTCAAACACACACACTCAAACAAAAGAACACAAACCTGGGTCCAATAACAGGAATAAGTAAGATGTCAGGAAGTTCTGGATGTTGTAGAACTGGAACACTAAGACTTTCATATTGCTGTAAATTGAAAACAAGTACATTATAGTTATAATATTCATAATCTCTAAACATTTTCAGTAGACAGGAATATTTATGATCAAATAAGTAGAGACTGTACTGTATATAATATCAGAGTCTACAAGAGAGTCAGTATCATGCAGATTTTGATCCCCCAGTGGATATCACCACTGTACAACTTGCAATGACATGCCTCCTTTCAGAATTCAAGGATACATTAATCTGTTTCAGGTCCTACCCAAAATAAGTAGGTTTACAAAGGGAATTATACTGTGGAGATTTGCCCAATGCACTTGTGAAAAAACTTATTTGGACAAAGTTCCTCTCTCTACAGAAATTCACGAAGTGCATAAGGATATCTGAAAGAAAGGGTTTTATAACACATTCTAGGTCATTTCAGGAACAGTTGAAGGAATGATTTGCTCTTACATTATTAGCAAGCACAGAAATAGCATGCTGCTGAGTAGCTTTGTTTAGGATAGACTTAATGATCCAGATATATCTAACAACAAAATGAACAATGCATGATAAAGGAATGGAATGCAAGCAATAACGTAGTTGCATTTCTTTTTTTTAAAAAAAATCACAATACTAATTATTTTCCCTGTTCATTGTATGTTACCCTACTAAGGAAAACTTTAGCATAAGCTGACTCTAAACATATTCTTATTTTGCACTGACTCCCTCTAGATGCTGAAATGTCCATTATTTATTTATCTCTAGAGCAGTGGTTCTCAACCTGTGGGTCGCGACCCTTTTGGGGGTCGAACGACCCTTTCACAGGGGTTGCCTAAGACCATCGGAAAACACATATTTCCAATGGTCTTAGGAACCAAGACACCGCTCTCTCTGTTGCAGCCTCACTCTCTTCCATCTTTTTTTCCTTCTCCCCCCCCCCGTGAGCTTGTGATACCCCTCAGAGCCTCACATTGCCTCCCAGAGGACTCAGCTGTTTGGCGGCCAGAAGTTGGAGCTGCTCAGCTGTTATTCAGGATGCCCACGAAGCCGACACCCACGCTACCAGGTAGAACAGCACTGGCCGCTGGTCTCCTTTGCCGCCCCACACGTTGTCCTTGACCCCTCCCCTGCCCGTTTATGTCAAGCCTGCGGGGACTTGGCAGGGAGAGAGGGAGGGAAGGAGGAAGGGATTCCTCCTCCTCTCCTAAGGTTCAAAGCATGACCAGCTTCCCAAGGGCATCACAATCCCAATTCATGTGTTTCTGCTGTACCTCCTTGGTGCTCCCGGAAACAGGGTGGGCAGAAGAAAGCTTGGTTAGGCTAAGCAAAGAAAAGCCACGGAGCCACGAACTCAGATTGCAGGCAGGCCGGGGAAGGGGATGAAGAAGAGAAAGGGGATTGGGAGAGAGGAAACACCAAGCTTGTCCTCGCCTTTCCTGCGCTACCTCACAAATCTGGTTTCAGATTTACACCACAAAAGTTTTTCTCGCACAGAGGAGAGAGGAAAAACAATTACAGAACACTCGGGAATCCCTTGCAAGGCACCATGTACCTTGGTGCTTATTTCCTAATGCCTCCCCCTGTGTTTTCTGCTCCATCCCAAATTCGCCTCCCTTCCACTCTCCTTACGCAGCCATCTATGGTCTTAATACAGTCCTCAGTCTGTCTCCCTTTCAACACCCCCTAAATTCTTCATTCAGGCTTCCAGAATTCGGCTGGCAGGATGCAGGTAATCCATCCCCCGTCCTGCCGCCTCCCATGGCACTTCCATGCCTCAAGCCTCAATGGCACAGGACCTCTGGTGTGGTCCCCAGTGGTCGTTGACTCGCTCCCTGCCGCCAGTGACCATGCAAGCCCTGGCAACTGCTCCAGCCTAGGAAGCAGGCGATTGGGAGGCTGCCGCAGTGCCAATCTCCTGTGCCCGTCAGCTGATGATCCCCAGACCTGCACCTGTCAGCTGGAACATCCGGCAACGCTTTGGCCGGTGAGGACGGCGAAGAGGCCACCGCAGCGCCGAACTCTGTGCCCGTCAGCTGACGACTGCCAAACTTGTGCTTGTCAGTTGGGAGGTCTGGCAAGGGAGCCGGTTGCTGTGGAGGGCGATGGGGAGGTGGCGGCTTGGCAGGCAGGATCCGGCCTGCCCACGAATGTCAGACCCACCTGCCCCATCTGTAAAAGAAAAAGTCTTCCACCCAAGCATAACTTTTAAGGATTTTAAGGATCTTTGAGAGGAAGAGAGAAATAGAGAGAGGGAAAGAAAGAGGGAAAGAGAAATAGAGAGAGGGAGAGAGAAAAAGAGAGGAGAGAGAGAAAGAGGAGAGGGAGAGAGAGGGAGAGAGAAAAAGAGGGAGACAGAGGGAGAGAGAGAGAAAGAGAAAGAGAGGGAGAGAGAGAAAGGAAGACGGAGACAGGGAGAGAAAGAGGGAGAAAGAGGGAGAGAAAGAGGGAGAGAGAAAGAGAGACAGAGAGGGAGAAAGAAAGGGAGAGAGAGAAAGAGAAAGGGAGAGAGAGAGAAAGAGAGGGAGAGAGAGAGAGAGACAGAAAGAGGGAGAGAGATTAAATTAGTAATATGGTTGTTCAATGAATCTCGTTTCCCCACTAACTTTGCTTGCAAAGGTTGCAAAAGGTGATCACATGACCCTGGAATAATTTTATGGTTGGGTGTCACCACAACATGAGGAACTGTATTAAAGGGTCGCGGCATTAGAAAGGTTGAGAACCACTACTCTAGAGAAACAAACAGGATTTGCCAAAGCATATATAGCGGCATTACATAACTATCTGCTTTGCAGATCAGATAATACAGAATAAATGTTCTCTGAAACAAAGATAAGGATCATTGTTTTAAAAAGAAGAAAAAAGTTCTGAGGTGATATTTTTTTTTTAAAAAAAAGTGTTTTATTTATAATACTATTAAAAAAGAAAAAAAGAAAAGATTGGACATGACTTGACATTTCAGTATACACATTTCTAACAAATTGATTCTCTACTTACATTTAATTCTTTATCTTTATAAGTACATATATATATTTTTATACAATACCTAATTCATTTCTCTATTTACTAACCTAAAATTATATACATTTCTATCTTAACACTAATCTGTAACCCCGAACAGACCTCCTTTGTTCTCACCAATAGAAAAATTTGTCCCAGATTTCGAAGTATTCTAATCCACTCTTGTCCTTCAGTTCCATTAAAGTGGAATGAAATAGAATAACATAGAATAAAAATGAATAAAGTATAATAATAATAATAATGATAATGAAAAAAAATCACTAAAAGCAAAATGATGTGTCTGCATAATTCCTGGAAGAAAGCTGTGTTAGCAAAGCTATGTTAACTGACCTAATGCATATTTAGAAACATTGTATAAGTAAAACTGCCATCATTGCCTTCCCATGAGAAATGAACCTAACATGTGAGAAACTAACTGAATGTTATACAATGTAAGATTCCATATACAATGTAAGATTCCATGAATACTCCCTTTGTTCCTTAGAAAGGGAGAGCTATAAAGATTGTAGTTTGGAACTGACCCCCTGTTCAGAATTGCCTATCTCCTAATTCAGTGGTTCTCAACCTGTGGGTCGGGACCCCATTTGGGGTCGAACGGCCATTTCACGGGGGTCGCCAAACAACACAGTCTGCCATTTTTCCCCCTTTTCCTTAGCTGTGCTACTCCCTTTTATTCTATTGGCTTTTGAAAGCCAATAGAATAGACTCTCTTGAATAGAGTCTAATTCTATTGGCTTTCAAAAGCCAATAGGAATTGTCCAGGCTGTCTCTGCCCTGCTGAGCCCGCCAAAAGTCCCATTCTGCAAACGGTGCTGCACCAGTTGAGTAGTCCTCGACTTACGACCAGTTGGGGGTCACGGCATTAAAAAGGTTGAGAACCACTGTCCTAATTGCTTCTGAACCTTGCACAAAAATAAACCTCTCTGTTTCACCCTTTGGAATTCGTAAAAGTCCTTTTTCGTTTTCCACAAGACCATTGTGGGCCTGTTCATTTTGGCACACGATAATATTTTATATAATATTTCTTCCTCTGTGGGAGTTTCTTTATTCTTCCATTTTTGTGCATATGCCAATCTAGCAGCAGTCAGAATGTGTAGCATCAAATAGACTATCTCTTTGTCATATTTCTCAATAGTTATGCCCAATAAAAAGAGTTCTGGTTTTGGCTCTATCTCCATCATTAATATTTCTTCCAACCATTTTCTTATCTTGTTCCAATAATCGCAGGCTTTAGGACATTCCCACCACATATGGTAATAGGTCCCTATTGCCAGTTTGCATTTCCAACATATGGATGAGAGATTTGGGCCCATTTTGGCTAACCTTGTGGGTGGGAAATGCCATCTATTAAACATTTTGTAGAGATTTTCCTTATAAGAAGTGGCTAGGGTGATTTTCCTGTTTCTTTCCCACAATTCTGGTCAAGTTTGCAGATCAATATTGAAGCCAAAGTCCCTCCTCCACATTAACATGGTTTCCTTAACCTGTTCTTCATATATTGCCTGATCTAAGAGGTAATGGTATAATCTTTTAATCATCTTATCCTCAGTTCCTAATAATATCTTATCCAGCTCTATCAACTCTTGTTTTTATACCCCAATCTTTTTTGTCTTTCCTGTACCTTGATTGTAATTGAAGATATGCCCACCATTTCAATTCAATCTCTTCATCTTGAAGATTTTTCCTTGATTTCAATTCCCCTCTCTCATCTAATACATTTTTGAAGGTTATTACTTTCCCTAATTGTATAAACTTTGGGTGTATATGCATTTCCAATGTTGAGATCCAATTGGGGACTTGCATATAATTTTGTTGTCTAATTTTAACCCAGACATCTATTAGCGCTCATCTAATGTAATGCCTCCGGAAGTACTGGTGGGCCTTGTATTTCTGATCCCATAGCATAGCGTGCCATCCAATCTGCAAATCATGACCTTCCAAACTTAATAATCTCCTGTTTTTCAATTGTATTCAATCCCCCAACCCATAATAAAACTGTAGCCTGTTAATATTTTTCCAAATCCAGAAGACCAAGTCCACTCCTTTCCTTTGAATCTTGCAATAATTTTAATTTGATCCTTGCTTTTTTCCCTTGCCAAATAAATTTAAGTATGGTTTGATTGCAAATTCGAAAAAATTCCTTATCTAATTTGATGGGTATGTACTGAAACAAAAATAATATTTTAGGTAGCACATTCATTTTGATTACAGCAATTCTACCCATGAATGAAAGCTGCAGGTTGGTCCAGATATCTAAATCAGTTTTAATCTGTTCCATTAATTTATCATAATTATCTCTCTTAAGTGTGGCACATCTAGCTGTTAATTGTATCCCTAAATATCTTATTTTCTTTGTAGTCTGGATGCCTAATCTATCAACTAATTCATTTTTCTGTGCTCTGTCATGTTCTTAATGAGCATTTTGGGGTTTTTTTTATTTATCTTTAGGCCTGCTATTTCACCATATTTACCCAGTACTTCCATTAGCCTTGTCCCTGATTGTAGTGGTTCTTCAATTATGAAAACAAGATTATCAGCAAAGGCTTGCATTTTAAACATTTCTCCTGAGGTGATATTTTAGATCCCATCCTTGAATCAGAGGGACACATTGTGCTACACTAGTAGATTTAGGCCTTAAAGTAAGGTATTCTGGAGCTGGAGAAAAATAATTATAAATTCAATGCCTCTTTGGTCTACTGAGTGGCCCCTGAATTAGGTTTATCAAGCATAACAGATTGAGCAAAGCCAATTTTGCTTTATGGGCTGCAACAGGTTTTTTAAAAAAATCAATGATAAAATCTAACTCCATTTCTTATCTGCCTCAGCATGCCATAGCAGGGTTTTAGAGCCCAAGTTAGTTGAAATCATCACTTTTTACTCCTTCTCTTGATGTTGCTTTCTCTCACTTTAATTTATATGCAATTTATTTAATTTCTTGCAGGTTATACCAGCAATACAACGTCTGCCGATTTTTTGAAATGCAAACTTATCCCAATATTTCAACAAAGCTTATAAATAAAAACATCAGCAATTGCAATTATTTTTAATTATTTCTATTAAAATTGTATCCTATAATTTGGCTTTATTTTAAATGCAGCACCCCTAGTTACTGGTAGTCCTCAACTTATGATCAATGTTTAACTATGGTTCAAAATTACAGGGAAAAAAATAACTTGCAATTGTTCCACTGTCCCAATGATGAATGACATGATGGCACAGGTGCCAGAGGTGGCACTTGGAGCCCTCTCTATGGGCACACGTGCCATTGCCCCAGCCTTGCCTCCCCACATGACCCCCTCCTCTTCAGTAGCCCCCCTGAAGGAGACTCGCCCTCAAGCATGGCCCACACGGAGCAGCACAGCTAAGGACATGGCAGCCAGGCAGTGTAGACAAGACTCTGCCCTCACACCCCATCATGCAGTTGATGCTGCAGGGTGCGGGCAGAGGTTGTGGCTGCCATAGTGCTGTTGGGCTGCCTGGGCAATCTGTGGCGGGTCCTGGAGGCGGTGAGTGGTCCTGTGGGCAGGCGGAGCGGGGATGGGGGGGCAGAGCAGGGGCAGGCAAGGGGTGGAGCGGGGGCAGAGCCAGTTTTTAGGCACTCGGTCTCTAAAAGGTTTGCCATCATTGATATATGATCACAATAGGATCACAATTTGGGTGCTTGGCAATTGCTTGCCTTTTAAGATCATCTGCAACATCTTGCAGCCATGTGCTTGCAGTTTGCAACTTTTATCAATTTATAGCAAAAATCATCCATTGGGGAAACTGGATTCACTTAATGACTGTATGCTTAACAACTGCAATGATTTGCTTAACAATGACCATAAAAATGTCATAAAATTGCTCTGACTTAACTTGCAACCACAGCGACTAATGGCAGAAATTCCAGGCTCAATTGTGGTCATAAGTCAAGGACTACCAATATCCTCAACTAACTGATAAGTAGACGAATAAGGAAGTAAAGAAAGGAAGTAAAGTACTGACCTTTTGGATCTCATTGGACAACAGATGTCTTACATATTCTACAGAAGCCAAATGTGTGTTTACTCGAACGCTAGTAAAAGCTGGTGGATGTGCTAGGTTATTTAACAAGGATTCATATTTCTGTTCTGCTTTCAGTGGACCAATAGATGTTGTAATCTTAAAATAAAAGTAAATAAAGAGATTTAATCAAGAATAATAGCATTTTATGGTATAATCACAGTATTCTAGATTTATAAGTTATTTTAATTTATAATATTTAACATAAATTTAAATAAATAGTTTAACTTATTTATAAGTTAAAAAGATTTTGGACAAATTAAAATAACTTTATTGAGATAAAGATGGGATTTATAAAGTACAATTTTCTTCTTGAAGTTCATTTGATGTTTCACAATCATGACAGAATGATTCATTTTAACTAAAGATTCTATTGTTACTTCATGTTAACTATTACAGAGCTGGCTTTACTGGGAATGTGTGGGCAAAAGAATTGAAAATATTTTTCTTTTAAATATATTTAATTAAATAAATCCAGCTGTACACACATAAAGATATCATGAAAGTAACAATGAAATCCACCATATGCTTGCTAAGTTAAGTCATAAAGTACAGGTAGTCCTTGACTAATGACCAATTGAACCCAAAATTTATGTTGCTAAATGAAACATTTGTTAAGTGAGTTTTGCCCCATTTTACAACTTTTCTTGCCTCTGTTGTTAAGTGAATCATTGCAATTGTCATGGTTGTTAAATGAATCTGGATTCTCCATTGACATTGCTTGTCAGAAGGTTGCAAAAACTGATCACATGATACCAAGACACTGCAATCATCATAAATGTTTTTCCAGTGAGAATCATCATAAATATGAATCAGTTGCCAAGCATCCAAATTTTGATCATGTGACCATAGGGATGCTGCAATGGTGTGAAGAATGGACATAAGTCATTTTTTTCACTGCACTGTAACTTTGAACAGTGACTAAATGAACTCTTTAAGTCAAGGACTACCTGTAATATTATTGTTTAATAAACTTCTTTAGCATCAATATATTTTATCTTAAAGCATAAACAGCTTGAAGAAAAAAATACCTCATTATATTCTGACAAATAAAATTTTACCTCTCAGCTGTAGTATCTGGCCTTAAATATTTGTCTTCTTCTTCCAGAAATTTTCTTCCTTAGACTAGCCCTGGGTATTCCTCCCTGCCTCATTAACCATATGCACAATGGCAATCCTATATACTGTATTTAATTAGATTTCACCTTGTAATAAATAATAAATTAAAATAAAATCACTATCATTTAAAATGAATAGTGTGACACATATTAACTCTAGAAACAACATCAGTGTATTTAGAGACACTGTCCATATTTAATGATTTATAATACCATCATTTGAACAATATCAATCTTGTCTCCATTTTGACATATTGCCAATGCAATGGCCTCATAACCCAGTAATTGATAGCCCTGAAGAAGAATGCAGTAATTATAAAAATGTAACACTGTATTTTTTTCCCAACCATATAGAGAGCTGCACAGAACTGTAATAGAAAACTTAATACTTTGTCAGTACAATACAAGCCAGTATTATAAATTAAGTTCACAGGACAGCATCCTGATAACTGCAACCTAATTTTTCTTGGTGCATTGTATTTTAATCAACCAAAATAGTTCTTACCTCAGCATTTTGAAATGTAGCCCTGAGATATTCCTCAACCTCTGGTTTCAGTAAGATTTTGCAGAAAATAGACATAGCTCAATCTATTTCCCTTTTTTCTCTGAGAAACATCTGCAATAAACAATGTATTATTTCATCAGATATGTGCTTTTAATATGTATAAGCTTAAAATAAAAACAGATGTTAATAAATTCTTCACGCAGACAATAAATATGGTCATACCAGGCCTATTGAAGAAATGTAATTGTCTATTTTTTAAAAAATCATTTCACATACAGTATGAGGCCAGTATATGGTTGTGTGATTATAATTTAGCATGCTGTAAATATCTATTGTAGTTTTTAACCATGATTTATGGTTTGGTGCATTGTGTATTTATCCAGTGGTGCTTATTTAGTAAACCATGATTAAACTCAATATGAATTGAATTTGATACTTAATTCTCAGCAAAAGAATGATGAAACAGTTTAAAATTTAACAAACTTTTATTTCATATGACGATGATTACACAGTATACAGGATAATGTCACACCATTTATGGTGTAACATAACATTCTCTATTATTAAATAACTATATTTGTATTTTAATTTTCTGCCCAATGAATTTTCAAAATATTACAATTTCTTTGATATGCCTAGAAGTGTGGTGAACTCAATGGAATATCTTGATTTTTATTTAACTATTTATTTTATATACTGCCTTTCTCTGCAAACAAGCATACAAGGTGGAATTTACTTCTAACTGGTCAAATTAAAACTAACCAATAAAACTAGTTCTTCTGGAAAGTTTGAAAAGAAATATGTGATGAGCCAAAATCCCAACCCTATTTCCCCAAATCATTTGCCACTAAAACTGCAAATTTACTTGCTTTTTATCTCTGAAGCTGGCAACTGAAATCACATAGCATGAAATTAGATGTGGAATGGCCAATCTTTAGTTTTACAGATAACTATTGCTAAAAAAAAATATGTACCAATCTCTTGGTGCTTGACTCTTCTTACAATGTTTAAAAATAATGCTTAGTGTCCATGCAGTGCTTTCAGGTGGTCAGAGAGCTTTACATACAGTATTTGGTTATGAACTCTGCAAAAAAAAAGAAATCCTTTTTCAATTATATCTCAATGTTTTTATTTATTTGTATCCTGCCTTTATTATTTTTACAAATAACTCAAGGCAGCGAACATATCCAACACATCTTCCTCCTATTTCCTCCACAACAACCCTTAAATTCCCAGAGGTGTGTTTTTCAAAAGGCAACTGGACTTTCTTAGTTTTTTTCTTTGAAAATGTTTTGCTTCTAATCCAAGAAATTTCTTCAGTTCAAACTGAGAGCCAACATCACCCAGCTGGTTTTCATAACTAAGGCAGATCTCCAAGTTTTAAGCCTAGTTTCTTAACCACTAGACCAGTGGTGGCAAACCTATGGCACACGTGCCAGAGGTGGCACTCAAGAGCCCTTTCTGTGGGCATGCGCGCTATCACCCCAGCCCCACCTCCCCCCACAGCCCCCTCCTCACCAGCAGCCCCCCTGGAGAAGAGTCATCCCCAGGCACAGCCCATGCAGAGCAGCACAGCCAAGGACATGGCAGCCAGGCAATGGGAACAAGACTCTGCCCTTGCACCCCATCACGCACAGATGATGCTGTGGGGTGCAGAGGATTGGCCGCCATGGCACTGCTGGGCGGCCATGGAGATCTGCGTTGGGCCGCAGAGCTGGAGGGTAGCCCTGCGGGCAGGCAGTGGGCAGGGCAGGGGCAGTATGATGGGCAGGGGGGTTGGACTAGGTCTCTAAAAGGTTCACCATCATTGCACTAGACCAAACTGACTCTCCTTTTAGGCCCTAAGTTGCAAATTGGAGCAATTAGTTACGATCATCTCTCCTTACCGCTCTCTTCCCAATCTGTTAATCCTCCAGATGTGTGGATTTCAGTTCCATAATTCTTCAGCCAGTATAATCATTACTCAATATATAGTACTAGGAGTTCAAGTTCTAGAAGTGGAGGATGAAAAATTGGGGACTTCAATTGTATGCATAGTAGAAGTTATGCCACAATTGGGTACTGTTTAGTCTCTTCAGTATATATAACTGAAAACATAATTATAATTAACAGATGATCTTTTCCATCTCTTGAAATGAAATGGAATGGCATCCGACTGCATTTCAAGCCTTGGGATTTGTCCCTTTCAAGGAAATGACATGTAGTATGGTATTGTTCTTTGGTTGGAATAACTATTACAGTAGCTTCCACCAACCTGACTATGGATAAGTCCAATATACTACATGTCACAGGACACAGGTTGGGAAAGCAATATAGGTAATTGACTTAAAACTATTTGTTTAATGACTATTCAAAGGTACAACAGCATTGAAAAAAGTGACATGACCATTTTTCACACTTATAACCCTTTGTAGGCATCCCCACGGTCATGTGATCAAAATTTGGCAACTGGCTCATATTTCTGATGGTTGCAGTGTCCTGGGGTCATGTGATCATCTTTTGCAACCTTCTGACAAGCAAAGTCAATGGGGAAACCAGACACACTTAACAGCCTTGTTACTAACTTAACAACTACAGTGATTCACTTAATTGTGGCAAGAAAGGTTGTAAAATGGGGCAAAACTCACTTAACAACTGTTCTGCTTAGGATCAAAAATTTTGGGCTGAATTGTGATCACAACTTGAGGATTACCTAGATTACATTATTCACTAGGTTCCTAATTTTTATCTTCCAAGGGCCTTTTCTGAATGGCTCTTTGCAGAGGTTAGACAGGTCTACTTCTCTATGATGCTCCTTGAAGAGGTGAGAAAAATGGAATGATTGTTCAGTCCTGGGGATGTAGAAAGGGTGGGAGAAACTCCGAATAGCCCACCTGTTTTCCTTAGAAAGAGACATTGAAAATTTTGGACATGAAAGTATTAGCTTACTTCAAAAGTTTTATTAGATGATTTCAAATGCAGAATACAAGTAAATTCTACATATAATATTCACTTCTCAGTAACAGTTCAAATGTAGAGTTTGAACAAAGAGTGCCAACTCAAGCATAAATGATATTTCATAGATTTGAAGCCAGTATGACAATATTACTATTCATTTGCTATTTTCCAGATTTTGATAGGCAATTACTCCAAAATATTGTTAAAAATAGATGATTTTCTGCTTGTCAAAGATTTCTTGCTACTACAGAGTCTTACTACACAATACATAGCTAATTAGGTTTCCTATTGCTTTGGTTGCAAACTTTCAGTTACTTGAAATTAACAAGGCAAACATTATCACTTATTTAAGGCAACTTTCATTTTTTTAACAGAATGTAGCCTCTTTTAATTGGCAACATTAAAAATACCATTAGATGATAGTCTTCTTTCTGATACTGTAATGCAGAAAACTGAAATTGATGTCTTATTTTATTCTAAAATTCATGTACTGCCAGTATCATAACAGTATCCTGGTTCTGCATGTGCACAAGAGAGTTTGCAAATATTTCATTTGGCAACTGCATGATTCCCTGGCTCACTTAAACGTAAAATGTTTTAAGAATAAAACAACAAAAGTAAGCAAAACTAGAGGATGCTTTACTAAGAAAGCAGGTCACCTTTGCATAACTGGTGCTTTGTAACTGGCTGTCACACACAACCCCCATTTTTTTAAATAGACCAGTCCATTTTCCCCTCTCCCAAGTGGCTATAATTATAATTTTGTAATAACATAATTCGTCAACATTTATACCAGTCACTCTCTCAGCCCAATCCATCTCTGAGGGTTATTGAGGGGAAAAGAAGAGGAAAGAGAATTAAGTACGTTTGCCACCTTGAATTATTTATAAAAATAATAAAGAATAAAAATAATTTGCCAGGCCAAAAAAAGTTGGAAAGTACTGCCCCAAATTAGAGATACATTGCTCTACAGAGCCTCCAAGGTTCCTTCCAACCTATGATTGTATGGATACCCAAGTCTCATCTGCATTTTTGAAATATCTGCCTTACTCTTTAATGCTATGAAAGAGAACTTGGCTAAAAATAAGGGAAAACAGACACTATCTCTCCTTAATAACACTAATAATTTAATTACATTATTTATTTATTCTTTGTATTTCTATCACTCGCTTCAAATAAAACATTTCTTCATTTCAGACCAGTAACAGCCATACGATGCAGAGACATAAGGAAATGACTGACCCCAAAATGAGGTACTCCAAAAATATATGATTGGTGGCTTAAATCTATTTCCCCCACCCCCACAAATTTAGAACTATCCTTTTATGCAGCCTTGCCGACCCTGGCATCCTCCAGGTTTGCTGAATAAAATCCCCACCCTTCCTAAAATGCTGTTTTGAGGGATCATCCTCTTTGTGACTAATCCAATTAAGAGACGCTGCTGAGACCCATTTTAAGACCCATCATGAACGCTGAGCTTCCATCCCTATAATCCATACGGCCAGGGACGGTGGATTATTTTGTGAGTTGTATCCAGCCCAACAAATAGAAGGAGCCACGCAACCTTTTTTCCGTCTTTCCGGGGAGCAAAACTTTGCTCCTCCAAACTGACGCAACACCACAACCGGAAGCGTCTCCTGGTTTCCGGCGAGGGAAGATAGGACGGAAAGAAAGAGCGGCCATTTTTGAATAGATCTCAGTGACCAGACCCATTAGGTTCCAACCCAGGAATGTAATAACTTGGGCGCCCTCTGCTGACGAGCGCCAGACTTTCTCTTCTCCTAATGCGCCGGAACTACAATTCCCAGAATTCCCAGCCGGCAATTAGGCAAAAGTAGTGCGAGAGCCCGAGGACGGAGTAGACGTTTTCTTTTCCTCACCTCATCGTTCTTCGATCCTACCTTCTGCTTTCCTTCTTCCGGCCACCCCGCTCGGCCTCATCCGGGAGCTAAAGGAACTCCTACCCTGTTTTGGGCCCAGCCCAACCAGGGTCTCTGTTAACGCCTCCCTCCTCGGCAGCAACTTGTCATGCGCCTACTGGGCATCAAGCTGCGCTGAGACTCATGAGGCGTTTTGAGAACCTGGCGCCCCCGAAAAGAATTAGGATTGGGAATTGCACTGTTCCCAATGGCCAGGCTGACGGAGAATTCTGGGAAATTGGGTCACTGGAGTGCTTCAAATGGAGGAATAACAGCATCTGTTGTTTCTTATCTGGTTGGATTGATTGTAGGCAAGCACAGTATTAGTAGGAGAGCAGTCACCAAGCTGCAAAACAGGATTCATTTTGTGTCCATTTAAAAGATTGCTTTTGAAGAAAAGCGTGGCCTACCATTTTTATGTACAACCCTCTCACTTGTATGTCTTTTAAGCATTTGCAAAAAAACTTCACCTTGCCGTTTATATTGGAGGTTTGGTGGCTCTGTTGTAGACAGAAGGAAAGAAGAAACTAGCTGGATTTCATTACAATGGCGATGGATGCACCATTGGAAGAGTTGGACAAGTTAGGGACAGATCATCATGGAGAAAATCTATCTACATACTTGTAAGGAGACAGTGACTTTATCATACCTGATCAATAAATCTTGTGGAAGGATGTTTGCCCATAACGTGATAGGCATCCTGAATCTGGGCTGCAGAAATCCAGAGGACCGAAAAGGCTGTCTTCTGGCAAAAGTTCTTTTCTCCCATCTAGTGGTCTTTTGGATTTTTGCATCTGAGATATATAAGCCTGGCCTTTGGGTCTTTTCAAGCTACCTTCCAGGCAAGTTTTAGGCACCTGATTCTGCCTTGAGGAATCATTTGACAGCCAGTGACCACAATGACATCTCCAGTATGTTTTCTTTGATGAATGTGTATAGCAGTGATGTGAAGATTTGCTATTGCCTTGTCCCTCCTGTGCCCAACTGTTGAATCAATTTTTTTAGCTTTTTGCAATTAGAGTCTTACATGTATTAGTTAACATAATCAACTTCCTGAAATAGATACAGTATGAGCCTAGCCCATACATTTAATTCCTAAAGCAGAGGCCAATATTTCACTTCTCCATTATACTTCAAATAAGAATAGATTTGCGTAAGTGATGAGAATGAATGGCTGTGACTCAGTGATGTTATTTGTTATAATAGAGGTTTCTATAGAAAAAATGATATTTGAATGATATGTTTGTGGAAGTGAGAATACTATAAGCCTTCAGATGCTAAGAAGCCCCGATGGCACAGTGGTTATAATGCAGTATTGCAGGCAAATTCTGCCCAGAGCCTGGAGTTTGACCTTAATGGGCTCAAGGTTAACTCAACATTTCATTCTTCTGAGGTCAGAAAAATGACCCAGATTGTTGGGGGCAATATGCTGACATTGTAAACTTCCCAGAGAGTGTGGTAAAGCGTTAACGGGCAAAATAATAAGTCAAAGTGCTATTGCTATTGCTTCCAACTAGTACAGGATGATGATTTTTCCCAGTAGTGTACACAGCATATAGTCTGCAGAGTCCCCCCTCCCAAAAAAGGATCTCCAATTTCACACTTTATGTGGTACAATTAAATCTGGCAAACACACATATCTCATATAGGAATGAAGTTGTGATTCTCCAGATATTGCTAGTCTTCAGATTTATAAGTCCTTGAACCTTTCTAACTCTCATTTGTTGGCCCAGATAAATAAATAAAAGTTTTAACATCTGAAAGGTAGCCAGTCACTATAATCAGATTAAAAATTATCAAAATACTGAGCAAACCTTACAGTTTTTCAAAAACTTATATGTATATGGGGCAGATATTGGGGTATATGGGGGAGTCCATGGTACTCTTATCCCACAGTGATAGATTAAATCTTGATATAGCTTTAAGTAGTCAAGTGCAATATAGTGGGCTCTAGAATAACATGTATATCTCCCATCTATGCATTAGTGTATCTGTAGAAGTGTACATCTAAGAGAAATTCAGTTTTTATTGGTTATTTTAAATCTAGATTTTCAAAACGGAAATGGTTTGTAGGTTAGCACAAGAAAAGGTAACAATGACTAATCCACCATTAGGGCTGATAAAGTAAGGCTAAGTCATGCTAGTAATTGTATAATGAAAGATATGTATCTTTTGATTTGACAAGGGTTTTTGTTTCTCTAGAAAAACAACTTCAGTGGGTTTTTTTTGTCAAAGCTAACAAACTAAAATGTCAGCTGGAAGGAAACTTCACAAATAGTTCTAAGATTCTGTCGTAGTTTTAGATATTTATGATCAATAATTAGTCATTAAAATTAAAAAATACATTTCTGACACAATCTTAAGCCTTACTTTTGTTTAATGGATTGGTTGACCCAAACTGATTTTCAAGTGTGGGATTTGACAATTTGCAAAGTTTGAGAATATCAATTTAATCTAAATTTTCTATGGCTGCCACTTTAGGATTAACATTTACTTCCATTCTTTCTATCCATTTTTTTTTTTTTACTCTTTAGCTCAAGAGCACACCTTCATATCTTTGTCATTAAGTATATTTTCCGTAAACATGAAGAAATATACAGTATTAATTTAATGGTTTACATTTTTACTTGCTCTTTAGATGATTTAGATTGAATAATGGACCAGTACATCATTACATCTATATGTAATCAGACATACTAAATCTGAACTACTCAACGTGAATAGAATTTTTGTTAAAATATCTTTAAACTTTAGAAATTGAATCTAAAAATGGAAGGGGAGGTACATTTGTTGATCATGGTTTGCAAATGTTATGGACTAAATTTCCAGCAGTCACAGCTGCCAGGAAAGGAGCCTGCAAAGTGTAGTTTGGCAAAGCCAGACATATTATTTATTTAACAATAGATAAAAGATTGCCTAGCCTGCTGCCCATCAAATGTGTTTGACTGGTTTTCATTCTGCTGGAAATAACAATGAGTTTAATTCAGTGTTTTGCAACTTAAAAGTTAACAACTTTTAAGATGTGAATTTCAAATCTCAGCCAGCATGTTTTAAAAGTTGCCACGTTTGGGAAACACTAGATCAGTGGTTCTCAACCTTTTTAATGCCGCGACCCCAACCGGTCGTAAGTCAGGACTACCCAACCGGTCATAAGTCGAGGACTACCCAACTGGTCGTAAGTCGAGGACTTTCCCTGCCCGGGAGCGCCGCGCATGCGTGGTGCCGCCCCCTGCGCCGGCCGAGGTGTAGCTGGCAAGCGGCAGAGATGGCGCAGGCTGACCACCGGCTGGGCCACCAGCTGGCCCAGCCCAAGGGAGGTAAGGCAACCCTCCCTGCGCCCGCCGGCCTCTCACCTCCCACCCGTCCCTCTTTTCCTTACATTTTTAGTAGTTGCTCAGCAGGGAGGGGTGGAAACTTCCAGACAGCTCGCCTTTGCTGCAGACAACTTGCAGCACCATTTGCAGAATGGGACTTTTGGTGGGCTCAGCAGGGCAGAGATAGCCTGGGCAATTCCTATTGGCTTTTGAAAGCCAATAGAATTAGACTCTATTCAAGAGAGTCTAGTCTATTGGTTTTCAAAAGCCAATAGAATAAAAGGGAGTAGCACAGCTAAGGAAAAGGGGGAAAAATGGCAGACTACGTTGTTTGGCGACCCCCGTGAAATGGTCGTTCAACCCCAAATGAGGTCCCAACCCACAGGTTGAGAACCACTGCACTGGATAATGATTCTAATATAACTGGAAGGCAGTAAACTGAAAGCCATTTCTACTTTCTGTGGAGATGAACTAGGCTAGTGTATATGTTCCATGATAGCCTGTCAGTCCCATATATTTTGCTTTTACAGAAATCAGATTTTAGAAAAAAACTGTAAGGATAATTTTTGGTTTTGTTAACTGGATTTGTGAAATCAAATATCCCAAAACAATATTCTCCTTTTGGAACAAGGATAGATTCCCCTCCAGGAATATTAAACGGTGAAAAAAGACGTAGCTACATAAAGCGAGGACAGGGATGACATTATGGTCTGGCACTGCCTTCATCCTCCCTCACTGACGGGAATCGGTACATGCTGAAATTATATTCTAACATTTCCGGTTGTGTATTGAACGCGCGGGGCAAAACGAACAGTGACTCTCAATCTTCAGTTGCCCCGCAGACGGCGGCGTTGAAATGGAAGCTCTAGTGTCAAGAAGAGACTTCCCTGTGTCGCTCTTCAGGCAACGTTATGCGTCATTGCAAGTCTCGGGGCTTTACCATCTTGCGCGAACCCCGTCGTAATGACGTCGGCTCTGAGGCAGCCGGAGGGGTGGAGCCCCGCTTGCTGCCTGTGTGGCTGGAGGGAGGGGCCAGGGCGGAGCCGAAGTGGTTTCGGTCCCGCCTGCTTCTTCGGCGGTGTTGAATAGGGAATAGTGGACGGAGGGAAGGACCTTCGCCAGGTCTATTGGAGATCGCGGCTCCCCTTCAGGGATGGGGCTCCTGTTCGCCAAGCTGTGGAGCCTGTTCTGTACGCAGGGTGAGTGACTAGATCGAGCAGGAAAGCCTAGCAGCAGCTCTGCTCCCGCGAGGCGGTGGCAAGGGAAAGAACCCTGGGGGCAACATGGATCCGAGTGGGCAGACTGGGCTTTGGCCATGGATATTGTAGCAAAGAAGGGAGTGGGTCCCGCGGGAAGGCCAATCCCGGTGGAAAGTAGATGGGGGGGGGGCTCTCCTGGAATGGGTTGCAGCCCGAAGGCGAAGCTTAGATGGCTAAGTAAAATTGGCTCTGGTGTGGATTGGGATGGGAGACCACATGCAAAGGAGAATCCCAGAGCTATGGATCAGATGAGGACGTGGGAGAAAACTAATGACAAATCCCTTCTGTATTGTTGCTGAGATAGCGCTAGGAATACGTTCATGTTGCTGAGCTTGACTGAGGGACTTTCCCCTTTTTAATAACTGTGTTTTATCCTGAAATGTCATAACTTATTCTGTCTTTTCTCCACCCACCTGTTTCTCCAACAATCCTAAGAGTGGCTAGGCAGGAAAAGATAGTTTCAAATCCATCAGCAGCTAGCTAGTGCAATATTCCCATTTAGACATTAAACCAGAACACCATTTCTCACCTGGACTTCAATTCCCAGAATTCCCCAGCTAACATGCCTGCTGGCTAAGGAGTTCTAGGAGTGAAAGTTCACCAACTGATACTGAACTGAATTCCACACAACTTAAAGTTAAGATTGTGAAACATAGAACTAAAGTAGTCAGGTATTTGGGACATAGGTCATCGATGGTAAGGATAGATGATACGTTTAGGTGTTGAATCAAAGGGGAATAGAGAACTAGGCTGAAAAGAAAGTTTATTCTATTGTGTCTCTTGGCCTTGACTCCTTAGAGAGAAATTTTACTATATTAAAATGTAAAAATATGAAAACTTTTGCAGTCACTCTTCCAGTATCATATACCTGAAATTAGTGCAGCCGATATTTAAGTATATGTACCAGTCTTTTTAAAAAAATCTCTAATGAATGCAAAAAAATTGTTTTGCCAGATGGTTTTTAGAGACAAAATAAAGTTAATGAAATTTTAAAATTTTATAAAGCAAAGACCTAAATATTGTCTGCCAAATTATACATTGATGGTATACTGTTACAATAGTTAATCATTTTAAGTGTTGGTAATGCAACATTATATTGAACTTGAAAATAAACTTTTAATCTCTTTAATTGAAATATACATACACAGAGAGAATGAGAATGCGAATGTAGTCATACAACCATTCTGCTGCAGACCACAGTAGCATGATAAAAAAAATGCAATTCTGTATTAATAACTTATTTTAGTAACTATATAGTAGTAACTTATATTTAGTAACTATAGCTATGTTCAATCATTTTAAAATCAAATTAGCATTATAACAATTTTCTTTCTTCTCTCATCTCCTTTGGGGTTATGCCCCTCAGTATCTAACAGAAAAGTCTAATTTGACCTTTACTCAAAAAAGTTTTATATTCCTGGGGGAGATTGCCTGAACTGTGTGAAAAATCTTTAGCCTGTGTTGTTGGCTACAGGTCTGAGAGAGTGGATAGAAACCACTTTCTCACATTCAGTTTTGTCCTCAGAAGACAGTATTCTTTAAAAGATTCTTTAGTGATTCTGGTATTAGAAGCCCCTCAAAGATATTAATCAAAAATAACATTGGTTGTGGTGACTTGTGTAATAGCTTCAAGTAGAAGATTGACCTACACCTTAGTTCACATGGAGCAATAATATGATTTGCTTGTTTTCAACCTACATAAAATGTGAGTTCTTCTATTTTGATTTAGCATGGTCTGTTAGCAAGATTCAACTTTAGTGAACAATCCATGGTTAAAAATCTTGTTTTATGAGTGGATCCATAATTTCAGCTATTAGAAAGAACTGAAATGAAAAAGTGAGATAATAACAGATTGATTTTATGATGCTAGCTCATCTGTCTCCTAATATTTGTTGCATTAAGCTGATACAGTTTCGTATGTACTATAATTGAAAGACTTTTGAATTTAATAATGACTCACAACCTTGATCTTGAGATATTTCATGAGATGGAATTTCAAGTTCCTGAACCCTTGTTCTGTGTTTATTTTTCTTAGTAGTAAATGGATTGGTTTTAAAATAATTTGTACAGGTAGTCCTCAACTTGTGATTACAATTGAATCAGAGTTTACATTGCTAAGCAAGGCAGTTGTGAAGTGAATGACACCCAATTTTATAACCTTTTTCACTATAGTTATTAAGTGCATCAGTACTATTCTTAAGTGAATCATGCAGTGTTAAGCAAAAATTGGCTTCCCCCACTGACTTTATTTGCCAGACTCCATCTAGGAAGGTTGTAAATGGTGATCATGTGACTCTTGAATACTGTATCCATATATGCCAAAATATTTGCCAAGTGCCTGAATTTTAATCTTATGACGATTGGCATGTCATGACAGTCATGTTCAAAGAGCAGTCATAAGTCAGTTTTTTCAGGGTTATTATAATTTTGAACGTTCACTAAATGAATGGTTGTAAATAGAGGACTACACTAAACACATGGTTGTAAATAGAGGACTTTCCAGTATAGCTGTTGCTATTTGTAAAACAAATATTAGGAGACTGTGGTTGTCTAACAAACACTCTGCTTTTTGATCTGCCTCCAGACTTTATTTTTTTTAAAGAAATAATGATACTTGGGGAAGTCTTTGGTAAGAATGGAAAAATGATATAGGAACAGAATCTCTTTTATGCTGGAAAACAGTTATCTGCCATCACTTTTAAAATCAAATTTCTAGTCATTCGAACTATTCTATAATGAAAACATGATAATATTGAGGCATGTAAATGAAATAAGATAACTGTAGGACGTATTAAATTAAAAGGCAGATTACTTGTGTTATATTTTTTATAACTACTTGTTTTTGTAGAACACAAAGTGATAATTGTGGGACTTGATAATGCTGGCAAGACTACAATTCTGTACCAATTGTAAGTATTTCAGTATATACGTCTAACTTTCAATCCACGAAGCTAATAGTGTTGCAGTATTTTTGCAAGATTAATAAATTTCTGAAAACTAAACCTTCCAAAAACTGAGAAATATTTTAAATTCCTGAGTATCAAATATCTCAGTCTGAGAGCTTGAATGTGTTTTTCAGTATGAGTATACATTTTAAACAGTATTCAGCTTAGTTCTTCCAGTATGTTAGGAATTTCCTTAATCCTTTCGTATCAGAACTTGACTGATAATCCAGTTTATTGCCATTGGTGAAAGATTAATGTCCTATTACTGTTTTAGTTTGTACTATTTAGTTTACATATGATATAATACTGGCCTGTATGATTTTCTTTGGAATATTTCTTTCCTATATTGCAGTGGTGGCGAACCTATGGCACGCGTGCCAGAGGCGGCACTCAGAGCCCTCTCTGTGGACACATTCACCACGCCCCAGAGATGGCAACCGTCCCTCTTCAACCAGCCTCCCGCTAACTTGCCAAGGTCCCACATGCCAGATGCATCCCAGCACCCATGCGCTTACTGGCCTTTGTGTGCAGGGGCCGATGGTGTCAGGCAGCAGCCACCCTGGGCCCTGCCTTGCCTTGCCCTGTGACAATGGCACCCCCGCCCTGCCTCACCTTGCCTCGCCTCACCCCCCCAGGACAAGCCTCCTGCCTGCCGCCCCAGCTGCCAGAGACTCCCTGGATCTCCCCCAACCCTGCCCGGCCCCCACAGTCATCCCTTCCCACGAGCAACATCAAAGTGATTACGCCCACCTTGGCCACACCCACTCAGTCTGCCATGACCACCATAGCCACGCCGACCCAGTGGGCCATGCCCACCTGGCACCCGGTGATAAATAAGTAGTTTTGGGTTGCAGTTTGGGCACTCGGTCTCTGAAAGGTTCGCCATCACTGCTATATTGCAATTGACTTTATGGCTCATTAGAATTCGTTGTTCTAAAGGACACTGGCATGTAATTGATATGCTGGATGTCAGCACAAAGATCAAGTATTGAAGTCTGTTCAGAAACAGAACATTCTGGAAATGTTGTTGAATCATTTATGCTGAGAATAAACGAGAGAGAGAATATCAAACAGAATTTCTTATTTTAGCCCTTCCTAAAAAGATACCTTACACTGTTAAATTTTCATATCTGGCACAATGTTAAGACTTCTAATGTAACTGAACTTAGACATCACCCTCACTGTGTAATGGAGAAAGTAGAACTGGATCTTGTAATTTTGTTGTCTGAACTTAAAGTCCGCCATTGACAGGACAATGTGATTTTGTATAGGAGTATGTGAGCTGATAACCCCTTCCAATTCTGATTGACTTTTGGTTGCAGATAACAGATCAGGTAATCATAAGTGATACTCAGCATATGGCCTAGATGATCTGATTGATACAAACTAGGGCTCTGAAACATTTCATATTTGAATCCAATATTGCTATGGAACATATATGTAACAGTTGTCTGCAACTCTAAACTAGCCAGGATCACATGGCAGCTGTTGAAAGTAGTTGTTCAACGCCAAAAAAACCTCATGATTGATTTAAAAAGCCATAGAGATGCAATATTTGCATTCATAAACCCCATTTCCAATTTATTTCCAAATTATAGCACATCCCTTTTATAAACGTCTTTGAAAATGGTATACCAGAATTGGTGAGCAATATTTAGTTATGGCAAAATGTTAAAAAGCACATTGCAAAGAGTGATGAGCAAAAGTGAGCAAAATATAAGGACATAATGAAAATCCCTCCAAAGCTTTTTGGGGTTTTTTTTGAAAGAAAACAGATGTGTGCTCATTCTCTACCTTTCTACAGAATTACTGTAGTGCTCACTCTCTATCTCTCTACAGAATTACTGTACCAACATTAGTGGATCAAATTGGACTAACAAAATTAGTGGACCAGAGGAATGCTGTGGATGTAATTTACTTGGACTTCAGTAAACCACAACCTACTACTTGATAAGATAGAAAAATGTGGGTTAGGCAGCATCACTACCAGATAGATTTGTAGCTGGCTGACCAGCCTTACTCAGCATGTGGTCCTCAATGGAACTGCATCTATATGGAGGGAAGTGTGTAATAGGGTGCCCCAGGGCTCAGTTCTGGGCCCAGTATTCTTCAACATCTTCATCAATTATTTGGATGAAGGGATAGATGGGGAACTCATCAAATTTGCAGACGACACCAAGCTGGCAGGAATAGCCAACACTCCAGAAGACAGGCTTAAGATATAGAAGGATCTTGACGGACTTGAACATTGGGCACTATCTAACAAAATGAAATTCAATGGTGAAAAAAGTAAGGTTCTACATTTAGACAAGAAAAACCAAATACACAGGTACATTATAGGTGGTACCTTGCTAAATAGTAGTAACTGTGAGAGGGATCTTGGAGTCCTAGTGGACAATCACTTAAATAGTGTGCTGCAGCTGCCAAAAAAGCCAACACAGTTCTAGACTGCATTAACAGAGGGATAGAATCAAGATCACATGACGTGTTAATAGCACTTTACAATGCCTTGGTAAGGCCACACTTGGAATACCGCATCTAGTTTTGATCACCACAATGTAAAAAAGATGTTGAGACTATAGAAAGAGTACAGAGAAGAAAAACAAAGATGATCAGAGGACTGGAGGCTAAACCATATAAAGAACTGTTGCTGGAATTGGGTATGTCTAGTTTAATGAAGAGAAGGACATGATAGCAGTATTCCAATATCTCAAGGATTGCCACAAAGAAGAGAGAGTCAAGCTATTCTCCAAAGCACCTGAAGGCAGGACAAGAAGCAATGGATGGAAACTAATCAAAGAGAGAAGCAACCTTAGAACTAAGGAGAGATTTCCTGACAGTTAGAACAATTAATCAGTGGAACAACCTGTCTTTAGAAGTTATGAATCCTCCAACACTGGAAGTTTTTAAGAAGAGACTGGACAACTTTTTGTCTGAAATGGTATAGAGTTTCCTGCCTGAGCAGGGGGTTAGACTAGAAGACCTCCAAGATCTCTTCCAACTCAATTATTATTGTTGTTGTTGTTATCGTTGTTGTTAACGTTCTGGGCAGTCTCCTGGTAGCTGCATTTCAGATCTCTTTAAACAGATCATCTTTTCTCTTTCTTTTTTAGCTTAATGAATGAGGTGGTTCACACATCTCCTACCATAGGCAGTAATGTTGAAGAAATTGTAGTGAAAAACACACATTTCCTTATGTGGGATATTGGTGGACAAGAATCATTAAGATCATCCTGGAATACGTATTATTCAAATACAGAGGTAGGTGACTGTTTTATTATGATTTTTGCCCCTTTATGTTATCAGAGCTCTTTTGGTGCACTGTTTCATAGCCAATAGCTGTTAGGCATGTTGAACTTCAGGTTTATGACCATGGTCTAGGCAGTGGTTCTTAACCTTTTTGAACGAATCGCCCCCTTGAGCCAATGAGGAAGTTGTCATCGCCTCCTCCCCCAACATAACCTCTCAATCACAAGATAGGAAATAATTCTTCAATTTATGCAATTTTTTGTTTTCTTTAAAATTGTCATCAGGACATATCAATGCAAATAATTTATTTCCAGTTGTTTTCCCATATCTCAACTGTGGGAAAAAGTTTGGTGCCACCCGTCACTTTATTCCCAAACTTCGTGATACATGTATTTCATTATTATCCTATTTATTCAAGACACTTAAATGTAATGACCACTGAAAACAAATTGCAAGAAAATGAAATGCCCGAAAAGAAAAACAGTAACATTTAATGACTGAATTACAAGTAAAATTTAAAACGCAAAAAGAAATATAAAAAGGGCATAAGAACAAACCGCAATGCAGGAACTAAGAATTTCAAGACGAAAACTCTGAAACTAAAATAAGATTCGAAGAAAGTATATATAGTCACGCACACTGTAAAAACGATTAAAAAGACACAAAGAAAATATAATATCGAACTGGAGTGCACGCTAAAAAAGTACAATACAAAGAGACACACAAAACAGCATGCGATGTTTCAAAAGAAGCACTCCCTCCTCCATCACTGCCCATTCTGGCCAATGGCGCGCCACTGTATGGGTAGAGCAGAGGTAAGCAACCCAAAACACTCAAAGAGCCACTTGGACCTGTTTCCCACCGAAAACAAAATACTAGGAGCCGCAAAACCCTTTTGACATCTAAAATGAAGATAACACTGCATATATCCTTTTTAAACCTTTATTATATATATAATTTCAGTGTTATCTTCATTTTAGATGTCAAAACGGTCTCTCTCTCTCTCCCTCCCTCTCTCTCCATCTTTGCCCTTGGTCTGCCAGTCCTCTTCCCCCACTCTGTGTCTGTGTGTGTGTGTGTGTGTGTGTGAGAGAGAGAGAGACAGAGACAGAGACAGAGAGAGAGAGGCACTTGCGCTTCCTCTCTCTCTCTTTCCTCTCTCTTTCTCTCTCTCTTTTTCTTTCCCCTCTCCCTCTTTCCTCTCCCTTCCCCCTTCTTTCTCCAGGTGAGGAGAGAAAGAGAGAGAGAGAACGAAAGGCAGAGGGCAACGAAGGGGCAGGGGGAGGAGGCAGCAGAAAACCCCCTGTCGCCGCTGGAGGCACTCAGCTCTGCTGCCCGCCGCGCCTGTGGGGACACCCCAGCTCACAGTCACATTGGCAGGCCATCCCACTTGCTGCCGGCGTCCCCGGGCTCAAGTCAGGGCCACGGGGCATTTGCGGAATGCTCTGCCGTCGGCTGCATCACCAAACCTCCTGTGCCGCCGGCGTCCTCAGTCGGAACAGGGACAATGATCCGCCTCCCGCCAGGACCAACACTGGAGCCTCCCATGCTACCGGTAGGTCAATCGTGCAGGAGGAGCTGGGACGCACTGCACAGCGCTTCCAGTGATTTGCGACCCACCAGCGTCGCCCAGGGAGCGATGCCCCCACCGGCCGTTGCCCCAGCCAGGACTGCCGCCCAGGGGGCAGCAGGAGGAAGAAGGGGAGGAGGAGGAGGGCAAGAAAGCCAGTGCTGGGCCCCAGGAGGAGGTGCGCCCACGGGTCCGGCCAGGGCTCTTCTGCTGCTGGTTGGAAAATGCCTCCCCCCTCTCTTTCTCTCCCCCCATCTTCTGCTCACCTCACATTCTTCACCGACAAAGCAGCCCGGACTCCAGTGCGCCTTCCCAGCCACCTGGGCTGGGGATCGCAGGGGCTGCTCTCCCTCGGGGCCGCGGCTTGCGGGAAGGCTGGCCTGCTCAGCTGAGGCTCTGGTGGGCTGCTCCCAGTGGGGATCCCGGGGCTTCCCCGCATATTTCCCCGGCCACATGCACCTCGGACGGGGCCATCCAGGGAAAGGGACTTCCTGGCCGTGCTTCTCCCAGGGGGCAGGGCACCCGGGTGCAGGGCCAATCAGGAGCCCTGCAAGGGGGCAAATCCGCATGAGAGAGAGAGAGAAGCACAAATGGCTCTCTCTGTCTCTCTCTGCAAATGGCGGAGGAGGCTCGGAGCCGCAGGGGAAGGTTCAAAAGTGTCCCCAAAACTTCTTGCTCCATCGCCCCCATATCGCCCACTTTTTGTTCCTTTGCCCCCGCGTCGCCCCTTTTCGTTCCATCGCCCCCCTGAAAAATGAAAGTGCTCCCTGGGGGGGCAATACGCCCAGTTAAGAACCAGTGGTCTAGGGCAGTGTTTTCCAACCTTTCTAGGTTAGTGGCCTGGCGCGGGGGGAAGAGGAGGCAGTTTTTTGTGAAGGGCAGGCGGCGGACACGCACACAGCTTCATTTATAAATGGGGCTGCGAGTATTGGAGCGAGGCTGGCATCTGCACTGGTCCACCACTCACATGGTCCGGTTGCAAATAGGCCATTGCCTATAATGGCCCCCAGCCCACAGATTGGGGACCCTTGGTCTAGGGAACAGATTTCCTGACATTGGTGACATCTTCAGAGGCAAGGTGATCACAGACAACTAAACAAGGAATAACCGAGTTCCTGTCTTTATAGCCAGGTGTCCTGACTTCTGAATGGCCCTTAGCCAAGCTGGTTTGCAACAGGTACAGGTGAATGATGGCTAGTCTCTAATTGGTTCTTTGTGTATGCCCAATGCTGATTGTTCATGTTGATGGTATTGGGGATTTGTGTGAAAAACCTTACACGGATAAATACTGCATTTCTTTGAGATGGTTTGTATTAAGAAAAAGTGGGAGGGCATTATTATTATAAATACATCAGCTGGTACCAAGGTTCCATTCTGCCCAATGATTTAGCAAGTGCTTGAGATGAGTTTTAAAGCAGGATATTCCTGGAAAGACAATAATAAAAAAAGGCTTTGCTTGGAGTCTCTTTTTTTTTAAGGCTTCCAAGAACTTGCCATGAGAAGTACCACATGGTATTGATCTCCGAAAAGCCTGAAGAGGAAAACAAAAAGTTATTTCTAGAGAGTTTCTGTGCTAAATCCTTTGATTGTCCCTGCTCCTGTTATTTTGTATCATAAGATTTTCTCGCCATTTGCTCTCCGAGAGGAGCGGGAAGTTAAGAAAGAGTAGAAAAAGAAGCTATAGTGCTCTTGTTTGTGCAACAGACTTATGCAGTTGCACATATATAAAAAGTTTCATCTTCTGGGATACTGCCTGTTTTACAACATATTTCTTCTGTTCTTTTTTCAACTGTTCCTTTTTCCACAGTTTATAATCCTTGTAGTGGACAGCATTGATCGTGAGCGGTTGTCTGTCACAAAAGAAGAACTCTACCGAATGTTGGCCCATGAGGTATTTCATTTAGTCTTGCTGTATTCCTTATAAATTTCCAGGATTTATATCAAGGAATCTCCAAAGGAGGATTTTGCTGAGAAAATTCTATGGATGTATTTGAAATCAGCATTATCCTAGTTTGGATCAAGGGAGCTCTGACCTTTATTCTTGGAATGTCAACTTCAGTTTGGATCTTAAATGTTGTAAAAGTGGATGGCAGAACCTGCTAACTAGTGCAGAACAAGAGTTCCAGTTTTATATCCCAGTTACTTCGGAAGGTTTGACAAATCTCTGAAACAGTCTTCTGGGAAGAAGAAAGTATTTCATTGGCAAAAATTATGAGGTCCAGCAGTGGAGAAGTACTTTCCATTGATGGGGAGACAAACTTTGAAAATGGTTAAAATTTCATATTTTAAGGTGTTGACTTTTTGTTGTTTGTTAAACTTACATGTCATTGTGCAGTACTGCCTAAAAAAGAGTGTCCCTTTCTGGCACCAGGGAAATGCATCACCACCTTGTGTTAAAGAAATTGTGAGAATTAAAGTTATAGTAGCATATATATTTATATAGGATATATATGTGTAGAAAGTAGCATCATAGTTATCAAGTCATCTAAATATTGCAATTTACAGGATTTACAAAAAGCTGCCGTACTCATTTTTGCAAATAAGCAAGATATGAAGGGTTGTATGACTGCAGCTGAAATTTCCAAGTATCTAACCCTTAGTTCCATAAAGGATCACCCATGGCATATTCAGTCCTGCTGTGCATTAACAGGAGAAGGGTAAGTATTGTAATAAAATATTTTACTTTGGAGATACTTATAATTTCTATATTTCTTATTCAAGTTATGTAAATATTTCTAAATACGTTATTAATACTAGCTTCTCAATTAAGGAAATTGTTAATAGAAAAGAGGGGGTATGATTATAATGCCATTAGTTTCTTACAACTTAAATAAGAAAACATGAACATATTTCTGAATATTTCACTGAGTAATTTTCAAAAAGCTTTAAAATCACTCAGCAGTTTGATTTATTAACTCTTTCCTGCTTAATCAGATATTTCAAATCAAATACTTTTGGGTCGGGGCAGAATGGAAATGTATGTAATATAGTGCAGGATAATTCTAAATTTGGGGTCACTGGATAGAAGGCAGGTATATTAAAATGGATAGAAGGCAGATATATTACAGACTTAGCTATTGTTCACTATCTTTAAATAGTTCCACAAGTTCAAGATTTTCTGTTCAGAGTATTTGTTAATTGAAGAAATCTAGATTAGGGAACTTTGATGTAGTGTCCAGATAGACCTCTGCTTTTTTCTTTAACTAAAATCATTACCGTATGTTATTGTGCCTGGGCTTGGTCTGGAGCAGACTGGGGTGGCAAAATACTAAAGTGGTACAAAAGTTAATGTCCTTCCTTCCTTCCTTCCTTCCTTCCTTCCTTCCTTCCTTCCTTCCTTCCTTCCTTCCTTCCTTCCTTCCTTCCCTCCCTCCCTCCCTCCCTCCCTCCCTCCCTCCCTCCCTCCCTGTCTTCTCCCTTCCTCCAGTTAATTCTCAAGGCAGTAATAGCGAAGGCTATGGAAAGATCTGGCAAGATCCCAAGGCAAACATCAGAAGAAACCTTTTTAGTTGTACAATCACAAAACAATGCATTTTGTTTAGGTTCCTGACATTTTGCCTTTAAATAATGATCTCTTAATTGAGACTACTAGTGCTACAATGATTAACAAACAAATATTTGTTGAGACTTGAGTTTTATTCTTTTCTCCCAGATTGTGCCAAGGGCTGGAATGGATGACTTCCCGAACTGGAGTAAGATAATTCCTCTGGATTGGAAATGTGAATTATCCCATGGACTACCCTTTTTTGCTTGTCTGCTTAGTGTAGCAACAGGTTTAATTTAAAAAGGAAAAAAAAAAAAACGTTTGAGATCTCCACAACAAGCAACACTTGAATCAAGTGCAGCTAGTCAAAACTCAGAGTATTTTTTAAACTTTTTAAAAATGCACTAGTCTTGGATGGATAAAACTGTTCTCCTACAACATAAGCTAAAGAACCATGCCTTGTATAACCAAATTCGCAGTTGAAAAGGTTCTTTCTTGCAGCTTAATATCCTGTAGCAGTTTGCTTCCCTTTTTGTTTTATGCTACAACATTAAGCTTTAAGACTTCCAGGATTATGGATTTTAAAGTCAGTGGATTTCCAGAGGATGGGAATTCCAGTGTCAGTACACAATATTGGAATTCTCCAACACTGAAAGGATTATTTATTTGCTATGAATGCTGTTGCCTTTTACCATTATATTTCTGCCTGAGAAAGTATACACTTTTTTCTTAAAACATATGCTATAAATATTTTATATATTGAGGATTTTGATAAAATGATTATAGAAAAAAAACTTCATGTTATGCAGGAGGGCTAATTGTACTGCACTGTGTTTTAGCAATGCATATTTAACAGAGAAAACTATTCCAGTATAAATAGAGATGTGTTTATCAAATGATAGTACGTGTCATCTCAAACTCTTTGGGATTCTGTATTATGAGTCAATGGGACCGTTTAATTGGATTCAAATTATTGATTAATGGAATTAAATTATTTGAATGGTGTGAATAATGTATGAAATAATAAGTTTGAAAAAGTAACTGCTAATTATTCATTGAAGAAAATTAGAAAGTATGCTTGAAATTAATTCTGTACTGTGCAAATTGGCCCATGACTTTTTCTTATAGAAAGCTGGATTATTAATGTGATTTTCTTCCAGAATTAGAATTCATATTACATATCAGTTTCTTATTTTGTATAGACTATGTGAATGGCTTGTGTTTTCATGGACAGTTATTGTAAATGTCCCACTAACAGTATTATGTAGTATTTTTAAATCTCAAAGGTGTCTGTTTCTTATGAAGAGGAATTTTTTGACATGTAGTAATGCTGGTGCTGTCATGTGACATCGAAGCTGATTGTGGACCCTCCTTGATCTCCTTGTTATGGTCACAGAGGCAGTTTATGGTTTAAAAAGTTGAAATCTATAATATATCTAGAAATGGCTAGGTTGGGGAAGGCCAGTGTACTTAAGTATACAGTATAAGCCCCAATAATGTCAGGAAGTGATGCAAATTATGACATTTCTGCCAGTTGCGTCATGATACTTGTGATTATGCTTCTCATTATTTTCAGACACTGATTTTGATGTATCTAATAACTTCAAAGGTAAACTTTTCAATTCAGCATATTCTGTACATGAAAGCCTGAATAGAGAACTCATTTTGACTTAATGCAAAAAGAATGCGTGTTATAGTTTAAAGAAGACTGTATCTTCATGAGGAAACAATCTTTTAGAACAGAGGTCTTCAACCTTTTGAGCACCAGGGACCAGTTCTGTGGAGAGAGGTTTTTCCGCAGACCGGAGAGTGCTTGTTTGTGCAACCAGTTGCTGGCATGCCGCGGCTCAGTACCAGTCCACGGACCGGGGGTTGGGGACCCCTGTTTTAGAAGGCACAGTATTTCTTGAAGCCTCATTTTGTATCAGAAGAAATGAGAAGCAAATGTTTGAGACATAGAAGTCAATTCTTGTGATTTTATAGATATATCCAGGTAGTTTTCTTGGTTACTAGTGAAATGGTGTGCCATTGCCTTCCTTGTAATCTGAACCAATTTAGTTTTCTGAGATCAGCCAAGTGAACAGTTAATTCTACTATTTCTTCTGGAGGGCATTTTTCCATTCCATTAAATTTTCTAAGAACATTTTAAAAAAGGGTATCAAAGTGAGTCATTTAGCTTTAAAACTCACTTTTGAAAAAGGCTACTTATTCATTTCAAATATTAACTGAAATTACATTTACCAGCCACTGTGATAGTTAGGAAGCAAATAAGCAAGCAAGAAAACTAGGGTTATTTATTATTATTTATTATAATTTATTATAGATTTGTCCCAGTAGCATATATGAGGTAAACTCAGCATACATATACATGGACATGTGCATACAGTAACATGCACATGCGTATTCATTTAATAACCAAGTTATCTTTCATTAAAATAAGAATTGTTGCTTCTCCATAATTTTGCTTTGCTTATTCCTGGCATTTATCCCATTACACATTTCTCTGGAAAAAACATCTTTAAGTCTAATTTCAAAGAAACTCTTAATTGAAATTTAGTTATATCTCTATCCCCTTAATTCTGTTCATCCTTTTGATGTTGTCAACTACAAATTACTCTACTGTACCTTTTGATAACCCAAACTCCATAACTTGAAGGTACAGATAGAGTTTGAATAGGAACAATAATAATCTACAAAGTAACAATTGATGGATGATTTGTTACTTGGGGCCAATACTGTTTTTGAATCGCTGGATAGATGTGTGTCTCATCATCTATTAATTGTTTACAAACTAGAGATGTCTTAAGAGTTGGGATGTTTTGGGAACATCTGTTCCACTATCTCACTGTGATTCTCTTGTGTCCAAGATGAGTCCAAGAGAGTTTTAACAATTTCTGATCCATGGTTTTTCTAATTCTTTGCCTTGCTTGTGTCCTATGTGAAGATATATGATCATTTGAAAGGAAGGTTTAAGTGAGATAATATATCATAACAGATCATTTTCATTCTTTCTTTGAGTCCATTTATGATGCTCACAGTAACTGGAAAGATATCATTTTTTTCATAGAGGAAAACAGTATGTTTTTAAATCTCGGCTCTTTTATGGTGTGAAATTTGGAAAAACTGGCTCACTTTGGTATTATTATTTCATATGGTCATAAGGTTTTATCACTTTTGTATTAAATGGTGACATTGGGCTGTAATTATGTTGAAGTGAATTAAATTGCGTGGTTATGTAAAACCCTTTGTGCTGCTGTAAAAACTGCTGGCAATGCAATATTGTGGTGGGGCATGAATGAAAGAGAGGCTGATTGGCCAATAAAACACCATTGTCAAGAATGAAACTTTGGCAGCTACATAGCCTCTTCATTTCCGCTTGCCATTAGAGTAAGGGAGGAGGTGTTGCTTTAGAATGGGTTAATGGAGAAATGAACCCTCTATGATTCTGCTGAAGACTATAGAGCCTGAAACCTTTCCAAGGACACTGCAGCAGGTGTGGAGAGGAACATCTGCTTCTTCTCCACACCTGCTGCAGTGTCCTTGGAAAGGTTTCAGGCTCTCACGGACTTCAGCAGAATCGTAAAATCCATCTAACCCATTCTAAAGCAACACCCTCTCCATTACTTTAATGGCAAGTTGAAATGAAGAGGGACGTAACTGTCAAAGTTTCATTCTTGACAACCACTCTTACTGTGTTTGCACCCACCTTTTGCATGCAAGTATGGTTGATTCTCTGAATCGTGACCATGGATTTTATTTCTTAAATTTGGATATATTACATTTTGTATTTCTGTAATGAGCAATTGGTTCAGTTCCAAAACTCACTGAACTTGTACTGAATTAAACAATGAAAATACATATTTAGGTGCTACGGATTACTTTGTTGGTCTTCCTTATTAAAGCTGTCTTTCCTTTAACAAACGAGCATCCAGAGAATTTATGTCAGCACTGAGGACTCATAAAATTGGTTAATACCACCCTCTTCACCCCCCACAGTCATGTGGCAAAAATAAGTCTGCACATCACCAACATTAGTTTGGTAATTTGCTAAAGGAGATGTACTTAGTACTTTTGAAATATTATCCCTTATGTCCGTGATGGCGAACCTGTGGCACGCAGAGCCCTTTCTGTGGGCATGCATGCCATCGCCCTAGTCCTAGGCCTTCAGCTGGGTTTTATAAAACCTTTTCGCTTTTGGCTTCCGCCGCCATGTGCAAAAAAAAAAAAAAAGGTTCAATCAATCAATTTCAATTTCTTGCAGGGAAAAAAAGATCTCACAAACTTAGAATTGATTGATTGAACTTTTTAGTCCCACCCAGTCTGCCGTTACCACTGCAGCCACGTCCACCCAATGCAGCACCCCCACCCAGTACTCGACGATACATAAATGGTTTTGGGTTGCAGTTTGGGCATGCAGTCTCTAAAAGGTTCACCATCACTGCCTTATGTTATATTTCCGGTAGCAGTTGGGTTTTTGTGGTTAGCTCTTAATTCCTGTGCTAGCAAGAAAGACTTCCTATTTTGTAAATATCAAATTATAGAAGTGTTTCTTGTCCTAGCAGATTAGAAGGGAAAAAAGTATTGTGGCAACTTTTTTTTTACAATCATGCACACAAATTAATAAACTAGAAAAAAGAAAGTGTAATAAAATCTGAATGAGTACTGTGTAGCCTTTTGAATTTACCCTGATTATATGCTTCAGGCAAGTTTGTCATTTTCAAGACTAAGTTAAGGAAGTATACAAAATTTCTGTTGAAGGGAGTTTATCTGAACATGCATACAAATTTATCTTGTTCCTATTAATTTCATAGAAAAATGAAATAGTTAAGCACACCGCTGACATTAAAAATTGTCAAAAAGTCAAATGAACTTGTTAAGTAGTCCTCAGGTTTTAATGTGTTGCCTGATACAGGTAAGATGAATTTCTAGCCTTATTTAGGAAGATGAGAAGACTTAACTATGGAAGGGATCAGTTTACTCAGGTGGGAATTAAGTCATGTACCTTTTTTTTCCTAATGAAAAGGAAATACATAATGTTTTAATTTGTACTTAATGGAGATTGTGAAGCTTTTGTTTCTAGAAGTATATTCTGAATGCCATATCTCCCTATAGCATGGGTCGGCAACCTGCAGCTCTGGAGCCGCATGTGGCTCTTTGAGCTTTTCCTGTGGCTCCCAGCCTCTGCCATTTGCAGAGACAAAGAGAGGCACTTGCGCTTCCCTGCTTCCATTCTCTCTCTCTCTCTCTCCCTCTCTCTCTCTCTCTCTCTCTCTCTCTCTCTCTCTCTCTCTCTCTGTGTGTGTATGTGTAAAAAAGAGTTGCCTCACACTATTTTCCGACAAGCTTATTGGGTGGGGCTCCTCCCTTTGCCGCGTCTCTGCAGGAAGCAGGAAGGGCAAGAGAGAGCCAGCACAATAATGTGTGTCAGCTTATTGGAAAGAGCCTGAAGCCAGCTTGCCAAATGAGCAGAAGATCGGAGAGAAGGAGGGGAGAAAGAAACAGAGAGAGAGGAAAGAGAGAGAGAGAAAAAAGGGAGAGGAAAGAGAAAGAAAGGGAGAGAGAAAAGGAGAAAGGGGGGAGGAAAGAGAGGAGAGAGGAAAGTGTGAGAGGAAAGAAAGGAAGACTAAAAAGATGAAAGACAGGAAAGGGAGAGAGGAAAGGAAAGAGAAAGGGAGAGGAAAGAAAGGGAGGGAGAAGAAAGAAAGGGAGGGAGAGGGAGAAGAAAGAAGGGGAAAGAGAAGGGGAGACAAAGGGAGAGGAAAGAAAGGGAGAGGAAAGAGAAAGGAAGACTAAGAAAGGGAGAGAGAGAGGAAAGAAAGGGACAGAAAAGAGGAAAGAAAGGAGACTAAAGGAGAGGGAGAGGAAAGGAAAAAGAAAGGAAAGAAAGGGAGACTAAGAGGGAGAGGAAGGAAAGAGGAAGAGGAAAGGGAGACTAAGGAAGAGGAAAGGGAGAGGAAAGAAAGGGAGACTAAGAAAGAGGGAGAGGAAAGAAGGAAATAGGAAAGGGAGATTAAGAGAGAGAAAGAGGGAGAGGAAAGAGAGAGAGAGAGAGAGAGAGAGAGAGAACTCATGCATAACAGCCTCTATTTCTTTTTAATTAAACTCTTCAATCAAGGTCCCCACCACTTGCGCGTGTGAGCGCGTGCACAAGTTTTGCGGCTCCCACTGTTTTCTCTGGGAAACAAATCCAAATGGCTCTTTGAGTGTTTAAGGTTGCAGACCCCTGCCCTATAGCATAATACTCATATATATATAAATCCACATGGATAGTATGTTCTCATTATGCATAATCAACAAGCTCTGTATCCAGACTATGTACACACTGTTCATTTTTATCTTGAGATCTCATCTATTTAACATTTAAAGTGCCATTTTGGAGAAAATAAGTGGCAAAGATAACAATTATTTTCTGTATTTGATGGAAACAACCTACTTGTAGACAATCCCTCATTGGAGTTAAGTAAAAATCCCAATTTCACCAATTCTTTTAAATCAGAACTTTTTGAAAATATAAACCATGGTAGTTGCCTTAGACAACATGTGCTCAAAAGAGAATCTTAAGACTAAATGTAATCTATTGTGCAGGTCCAACAGTTTTTAGTCACTTAACATTCTTCTAGGAGTATTATTAGCCATTCAGATTCTTTCAGTATTGGCCATGGTTGGTAAAATGGTACCTCACTTTAGTAATGTTCAAAGGGTCATGTATTTCCCTGGCCTATAACAAATGATATAGCTAATTGCTGTAGTCATGTGGGGATTCTACAGAATATAGTCGTTATACCTCTTCCTTTAAGAGTGCAACCCAACTGAAAAAGTTTCAATCCTAAATTACCAGCTATGTATCTGCGATGCTGCCAAAGGTGAATTCACCATCCTAACAGAAATGTGCACAATGCCTTAGAGGTATGCTGAATGTACAGTATAAAGTTTTCAATCATAGACATCTCAGCAAATATTTGAAGAGCTATTTATCAATGTGATTGCTGTCATTTTATGTTACTGCACAACTTAATCTGCCTATGAAGTGTTGCCATCATTTTGGATTTGTAGACCTTTGAAGGAAGCTTTGCTCAACCAAACTGACTTTAGATCAAGGGCAATATTTCATTTGAGTGATTTCATGAAACAATGTGGCTCCTTTGTTGTTAAGAGTAAAATACTAGTTTCTATTACCCTGCTCTAAAGCCTTCTATGATATTTGTGACCTAAAAGAAGCACCTTCTGAAGCTTCCCATCAATTACTCCAAGCTTCTGAGGAAATGCAAGCCACCTGGGCAAAAATACATCTTTGCAAATAGTAAAGGAAGGCAGTCAGTTGATGTGAAGCATTTTTGTTATTTTTTCAGTAAGACAATCATGTCTCTACAGCACAAAAGATTTCTTGAGACACATTCAACTTGCCATTTACAATCCTTGTAATCCTACTCTATATATTTCATTATCAGATAATGTTTGTATATCATTCAAAATACCACAAGATCAAAGATCCAGAAAGCTATATGTGATTATGTGTGCCAAAAGTTTGAAATGACTCATTGTAATACAGGAGCTCTTGAAATTATGTTAAAAGCCAGAGGTTGCCAATCCCAGCTGTAAATGGACAATGTGTTAAAGACAATGTTGAAGACCAAGTCATCTTTTGACATTTATGAACTCTATTTGACCACTTGGACAAATGGTGAAAATTAGACAAGAGAAAGAGTCTTCACATCCTTTCTCTCTACTCTTGACTTCAAATACAATAAACGTCTACTAGCATTAATTGTAGCTTGTAATTATTCAATACTCTGCACCAAAACAACTACAGTATAAGCATTTTTTCTTTTTAAATGAGATTTTCTCCTTGAGAACTCTGAAAATGTGGCTATGTGAGCAATCTTTGCTATCCAAAGAACGGTCCAGGCCAACCTTTGCTGCATGAGCTGCATTGGATGTCAGTTTACTTCTAGGTTCAATTCAAGGAGTCGGTTATGACCTTTAAAGCCCTAGATGAGATGGTGTCAGGTTGCCTTTGGAACTTATCAGCGTATCCACCCAGTCAGGTAGGAAAGATACATTGCAGACCCTGTTAGTTAACGAGTTCTGACTGGCAAAGTTCACAAAGAGAACTTTTTCTATTATTGCCCCCTGCCCTTTGGAATATTCTGCCCGCAGAGGCAGGATTGGCCCTAGTTTCCTGACCATTCAAAAATATGTAAAGACTTGGCTCTGCCATTTTGCTTGAGGCTTGCAAAGGATCACACAGCTCTGGGGCTGGTTAGCACCCTTGGGGCCTCCCCCCCTTTTAATTAACTTTTCATGTTGAATTTTAAATATTCTTACTTTTTTAAAAAAAAATTAAATTCTGTATACTCAGGAACACATCCTCTAACAAGGGCTCTTGTTGAATTAAAATATCGAACAATGCCTAGGTCAGGTGTCACCAACTTGTAGTCTGTGGCCCACTATCAGGCCGTGGGCTGTTGGCCACTGGACCGCGTGAGTGGCTGGGCAGTGCATGCACCCCTCTTGTTACTGTTGCAGCATCACACAGGTGCTAGCAATGCCATGAAGTTCGGGCGGGCACTAGTGTTGCCACAAGGCAGCCCCTATTTGCCCTAGTGTCATGGTGTTGCACAGGTGCTAGCAATGCCGTAAGCATTGGGCGGGCACTAGCATCATGGCATCATGCCAGTGCTATCATCACTACAAGTGCAACATCCCCACTTGCTCTAGCATCACCATATTGTGTAGGAGCTAGCATCAACTGAGCAGGTGCTCGTGATCCCATTTGCATCATGTGCACAATCACTGCCCCATTTGCGCATGCGTGGCCCCATTCTTATGCGCTTGCTTGCATGCATAAAGGTGCTCCCACCCCCACCCCGGGCTGCCAACCCAGAAAGATTGGGGACCCCTGCCTAGGTTTTTGGATTTGTAGCTTGCACTTTCATGCTAAAATCACTGTTTCATAACTGTGCCATTCATTGAATGCATCACATGGCATTTCCTTTGCCATTTGAAGACCATCCAGAGATGGTTCCCAAAGAATGCCAGCTGAGTAATTGTTCTTTTTGGTTGAGGGCCAAGTGGGTTTAATGCAGGACCTCTTTTCCAGCAAAGTCAGAAACGATGGGATGAAGAGTAAAAAAAAAAGTGTTACAGTTGTTAATAAAGATGAAAATCATATTTTGATTATGAAGAGAAAGAAA